AGTTGAGTGTCGCTACTGTCATCAAAAGGGGCACATCCGTCAGTATTGTCCCAAGAATCCGAAGAATGGTCAGTTCTCTTCTTCCGACTCTTTCTCTATCATTGCTACTGCCACTAGCGTATCACAGTCGCCTCAGCCACTTCTCACTCTTGAGGACCTTCGTCACATGCTCACTTAGGTTCTAGCGGTCCACCCTCATTTAGCCTCGACATCAAGTAACAACACATGGTATATTGATTCTCTGTTGTAATCACATGACACCTCATCATCACCTTTTATATTTCTTCCAACCTATCACTTCACCCCCTCCTATACTTACCGTTGATGGCACCTCCATGCGCATTATCCACACTGGACATATCTCATCATCTCACCTTGATGATGTTTATGTTATTTACAAATTAGCCCTAAACCTTCGCCTGTCGGTAAGTTGGTTGAGCAAGGTCTTACTATAATTTTCTCTACTTCTGGTGTGCAATTTCAGGACACACAGACGGGTCAGATACTTGGGACGGGTCGCAAGACAGACCACTTGTATAAGCTTGACCACCTTCGCCCTGGCCAGATACTATTACTTTCCGTTGTTTCAGTCAGACTTAGTCATGTCTCCCTAACTAAATATAAGTCTTTTGCAAATACAAATTAATTCATATATTTTTGTATATAGTCATTTGGGACTCACATATATATATATATATGAATATTGTAACTCTCTTTCAATCAATAATACAAATTTCTATTTCCAAATATTCCAACCCTGGCGAGCACATTTGTTGAGTTGTTGGTTGAGATTCTTATAGTATGTTCTGTTTAGTGAAATTATTTGAAAAAATCTTTTTATGTGAAATATATAAAATTATGTAACTAATATAAAAATAATGAATGTGTGTAATATTTTAATTTGTTTGGAAAAAATATATTTTTGGGTGTTGGTGAAAGAACACACAAAATGTGAGTTATTAATAAATTAAGAAAGTGTTTTTGTTTGTGTTTTTTACTTCTTTTTTTTCTTCGTATTTTCGTTTTTATTATTTTGGGTAAAATATTATGTTGCGAGTAATATATTGTGATAAATAATGCAATGTATAAATTAATACAAAACAGTGAAGAAATCACCTTTCGAACCTTAGGGGGTGAAATGTCGATTTTCTCAGGCGGCAGGCAAATTCATTATAATTGTTATATTTTTACATTTAAAATAAAAAAAATAAAAAAAAAATTTAAAAAAAAAAAAGAAAAAGAAAATTGGGGCTCGGAGAAGTAGCTTCGTCCCGAATACAAAATAAAAAATTTGGTTACATTTTGATAAAAAAATACATGATCCCTTAAGGCACTGTTATTATTATTTATTTGGTTACACTTTGATAAAAAAATAATAAAAAAATGATCCCTGTCGCACTTTATTACTCCCTCTTTCGTGTAAAATTATATTTCATCTATCCCACTTTTTGTATTTATTTATTTTTTATTTTTTTTTGTCCTATTTATTATTCTGCCACTTTTATTTTTTTAGAAAAAAATTATATATTTGAATCACATATTAAATTTTTAATTTATAATTTTAATTAGACTAATGGATTATCTTAATTTTAATCTAAAATTATTTTTATTATACAATAATTATTTTCACTAATATATTTTTAATTATTTACTAATTATACCCCCTCTAAAATTTTGTATCTACAGTAAACGAGACACGATAGACGAGACATGAAAGAATCATTTAACTGGTAAGAGTTTGAAAAAAAAGTAAGTACAAATATAATTTTTTTTCTTTTATAATAAAGGAAAAATAAAAAAATATAGTATTTTGTTACTTAAAAAAGAATTGGAATAATTTTGATGATAACAAACAAATAAAAAAAGAAAAATGTATAAATTTGAACGACAGAGAGATTATTATATATGTGTTTAAATATAATTCATATATATTCATAACAAATCAAATTAACTTTTTAAGTACGCTTAAAATATATAGATTTGTTTTTTTGAACTATTGTGCTTATTTATAATAAATCGAATCTAATTTTAAAATAATGTCTAAAATATTAGTATGTTGATAAAATATCGTGAATATTAATTCCTAGTAAATCAAATTAACCTTTTAAGTATGCCTAATATATATATATATATATTACTAAAATATTGTGTTTATTCATAGTAATTCAAATCTAATGTTTAAATTATGTCTAAAATATTATTTTAGTTGCTGAAATATTGTGTGTATTCATAGTAAATCAAATCTAATATTTAAATTATATGTCTAAAATATTGTGTTTATTCATAGTAAATCAAATCTAATATTTAAATTATGTCTTAAATCTTATTTTAGTTGCTGACATATATTGTGTTTATTTATAGTAAATCAAATCTAATTTCTAAAATATTGTTTTTGTAGCTCATTGTGCATATGTATTCATACTAAATCAAATTAACATTTAAAGTATGTCTAAAATATATATTTTATTGCTGAAATATTGTACTTATTCATAATAAATATGTTTTTAAAAATTATGTCTAAAATATTATATTTTTCCGTTTTAATTCAATGTATCATTTTTCTCTGTCTCACTCATTTTTATTTTTTATTTTTATTATAATAAGTAGCTAATACACAAATTCTAAAATATTCTTCATTTTTATAAAATATTCATTTGTTATGACCAAAATAATATTTTCTTGCCCACCAAATATATGCACATTTACATTGGATATATAGTTTAGTGATTATAATATTATAATAAATTGAGTCTGTAAATAGTTGTGATACTTTTTAAATAAGTGTAATATGAAATTGTATAAATTAAAGAGTGCATAAGAATTATTTTCTATAAATAAAAAATGTATATTTTTTTGTGACAAATAAAAAAAATAGACATAAATTTAGTGAATGGAATGAGTAATAAATTAAATGAGATAAAATTAATATTATTATATATATTTTATGTTTTTTCACTTTTGTTTTTTGGTGGCATTATTTTTCATAAACATTATTAGAAAATACAATATATGTATATATTAATATATTTTTTTTTATTCACAAAGATTAATAATTTAATACAAAATAATATTTTTTTATATTATTAATACAATTTTTTATATCAAACACATTTATTCAAAAATATAATATATATACATATTAACACAATATATATAATATATACTTTATTCATTTACAAAAAATTAACCACTTAATACAAAATATTATTAATATTTTTTAATATTTAATATAAAAAATACATTTATCAAAGACCAGTTTGTATGCATCAATGTATTTTTATCATGTAAATTTAAATATATATATATATATATGTATATATATTAGTATAGCATGTAATACAAGTGTTTGTTTTCGAGATTTTGTGGAATTTCCACAATTTGTACAAATTTCTCTTCTCTCCCCTCGTTCCTCCAAAATATTAAGGGCGTGTTTGGCAATTAGCTGATAGATGTTAGCTGATTCAATTAGCTAGTTTGACTAGCTGATTCGATTAGCTGTTTGTATTAAAATATTTGGTAAAATAACTGTTTGATATTAGCTGTTTATACATAAAATGACAATTGAGGACATTTCTATTTTATTCTTGTTTCTAATATATTCAATTATGTTTTTTTGAGTTTAGAATGTTTAAAAATTTTTGTTATTAGTTATTGAAAATTATAAAAGTGTTATAAAAGTATTTATTTATATTACAGTTAGATTTAAAAAATAATATATTTTTATTAAAATATATAAATAGTTTTTTTTATTGAAAATGGTGTAAAATATAAAATAATAAATTTTTCGTATATATATTTGTTATATTAGTTATCGATTAGTTCATTATAATTATAATTTTCAATAAATTTAATTTAGTTTTAGTATAAAATTTATATAATGTAATTTTAATAAAAAAATAAATTATTAAAATTTATATTTTTTATTTTATGTTGATTTTAATAAATTTATATATTTTACAATTAAAATAATTTTTATATAAAAATTAATTATTTTAAATTTATAAAAGTAAAACTATAATATAATAAAATATTATAATATAATTAATAAATAATCAAAATATATTTATTTGTTTAAAATTTATAATAAATTTTTAAGGGCATATAAGGAATAAAATATTTTTTTACAGCTATTTCAAAAGGCTAAGTTAGCTTTTTCAGAAATTAGCTTTTTGGACCCCAAAAAGCTAATTTACTAAACATTTAAATTAGCTTTTTGACTAGTCAAACACCTAAAAGCTATTCAATAAGTTAAAAACTTTTCAAAAAGTTATTTGCCAAATCAAGTATTTATTTTTTTATTTTTATATTATACTATAAATTAATTTTAAAAATCAAAATATATCAAATATTTATTTTTTTTATTTTTATATTATAGTATAAATTAATTTTAAATTCAAAATATATAACTACTCCAATCCTAAGCTAAAATTCAAATCCCCGAACAAACAAATGATTATAAAATTTATAAAATACAAAATAAGATGCGATATAATATTATTAATTATTTAATAGTGACATGTTCACCAAATTGAATTATAATTATATTGACTGTTGATAGGTCAATATATATAATAGTATATGGAGAGAGAGAGAGAGAGAGAGAGAGAGAGAGAATGGATGGAATGAATAATAAATATGATTATATTATTAGTATAGAGTATATCCAAGTAGAAGATACAAAAAGTGAAAGAAAGAAAGGGAGTGGATAATACTCCTATTAAAAAAAGATAAAAAGAAGGTACTAGCGAGTGAGTATTAATATAATCTAATCTAATCTAATTCCATGGAAATGTCGACACCATTGGAGGGGAGAGGGTCCACCAAATATATCCTTCTACTAGTACAGTACTAGCAGTATCACCGCCCACCCACTGGATTCCATTCAATTCATGTCTCTCTACTATTGTATTTTAATCAATTAATTAATTGGTTAGTAAGAAAGAGCAGGGGGGGTGGGTGTTGGGTTGGGGCCTATAAAAGGAGCCTAATTCCTTCCTGCACTCTTCACATTGATTCGTTCGTTCCACCGTCCGTCTGTTGAGTTTCCTCGTTTTCTTCGCCATCATCGCCCTTCTCTCTGTCTCGCATTTTGTGTTGTCTACTTTTATTTCTCTTCTGGTGTTTGTTGTTCATAAAGTGAGTGAGTCAGGCAGGCCGGTCGGTATTCAGGAATAAAGCCCACACTGTTTCTCTCTCTTTTTTTGTTTGTTTGATTGATTGATTCAGTTCAGTTCAGTTCAGGTACCTCTCTCTCCCTCCCTCTCTCTCTCTCTCTCTCTCTCTGGGTGGGGTGGGGTGGGTGGCAGCAAGCAATCAAACAAATAGGGAATCTTACACTGCTGTAACAAACTACTCCACTTAATTACTAATCTTATTGTTAAGATTTCGTCCTCGTCTCCCATACACATACACATACACATACACATACCTTACCAACCATTTCCAATTTAATCGCTAAATTAAATGACATCTATCTATCTATCTGTGCTGTGCAATTAAGATCTTTCTTTCATTCATTCATTAATGGTCGATCTATCTATCTAGATTTATTTAATTATAATAACTAACTAATTAGTGCTGAATTATTAGTCAGTCAGTGAGTCAGTCGTCTCGTTAGAGGTGATATTCATGAACCCATAAACAGCACCAACTGATTCTCTCACTTACTCACCACGTTACAGTACTGTAGTTTTCCTCACCGACCGACTCCCCATGTCGAGGTTCTAGATTCTTGCCACGTGGACTGCCACCCTTGTTTATCACGCCACTCCTCTCTCTCTCTCTCTCTCTCTCTCTCTCTCTCTCTCTCTCTCTCTCTCTCTCTCTCTCTGACACAGATGTAATTAGAGGGTTAGGTAAGCAATTTATTAATTAATCTAGGTGTCGCTGCACCGTCATCCTCGTCATCTTCTCCTCCTACGTCCTACTATATATATCCATATTTATTTATTTATTTATTTAGAACAGACCCACCCACCCACCCCAAGCAAATCAAAATCGTACACTAGTGTTTGCGTGTGACGGCGACTCTGCTCTTAATTATCTATCTATCTTTAGGTTACGTTGTTGAAGAATCAATCAAGAATGGCGGAGCGTGTTCTCACTCGCGTCCACAGCCTCCGTGAGCGGATGGACGCCACCCTCGCCGCCCACCGCAACGAGATCCTGCTCTTTCTCTCCAGGTACCACCACTAACCTAATCATCTATCTCTTCTACCAATATTAATGCATGCTGAATTAATCAATTACTATCAAATTTATCAGAGTTGAAGCGCACGGGAAGGGAATCCTCAAGCCCCACCAGCTGGTGGCCGAGTTCGAAGCCATCTGCCCCGCCGACAAGGAGAAGCTCCAGGACCACGCCTTCCAGGAGGTCCTCAAGAGCACCCAGGAGGCCATCGTCCTCCCCCCCTGGGTCGCCCTCGCCATCCGCCTCCGCCCCGGCGTCTGGGAGTACGTCCGCGTCAACGTCAACGCCCTCGTCGTCGAGGAACTCTCCGTCCCGGAGTACCTCCACTTCAAGGAGGACCTCGTCAACGGAACGTACGCCCTGTCCTAACAATTACTACATCATCTTCATCTTCATCTTCATCGAATTCCTTACATATTTGCAGCTCCAATGGCAACTTCGTCCTGGAGCTCGACTTCGAGCCCTTCACGGCGTCCTTCCCGAAGCCGACCCTCACCAAGTCGATCGGCAACGGCGTCGAGTTCCTCAACCGCCACCTCTCCGCCAAGATGTTCCACGACAGGGAGAGCATGTCCCCCCTGCTCGACTTCCTCCGCCGCCACCACTACAAGGGCAAGACCATGATGCTCAACGACAGGATCCGCAACCTCAACTCCCTCCAGACCGTCCTCAGAAAGGCCGACGAGTACCTCACCACCCTCCCCCCCGAGACCCCCTACGCCGACTTCGAGCACAAGTTCCAGGAGATCGGCCTCGAGCGCGGCTGGGGCCACTCCGCCGACCGCGTCGCCGAGATGATCTCCATGCTCCTCGACCTCCTCGAGGCCCCCGACTCCTGCACCCTCGAGAAATTCCTCGGCCGGATCCCCATGGTCTTCAATGTCGTCATCCTCTCCCCCCACGGCTACTTCGCGCAGGAGAACGTCCTCGGCTATCCCGACACCGGCGGCCAGGTAGTACTAATACTATAATGATAATAATAATCCATCAATGGATCGATCAGATCGATTTGTAGGTCTGAAAGTTTCTTCCCAGGTTGTCTACATCTTGGATCAAGTCCCGGCATTGGAGAAGGAGATGCTCAAACGCATCAAGGAGCAAGGACTCGATATCAAGCCGCGGATTCTCATCGTAATTACTTCCATCTGCATCTGCATCTTAATTTTAACAATGCTGGATGGATGGATGGATGGATCATCGATTTTGTTGAATTCAGGTGACTCGGCTGCTCCCGGATGCTGTCGGAACCACCTGCGGCCAGCGCCTTGAGAAGGTGTTCGGTACAGAGCACTCCCACATTCTCCGAGTTCCATTCAGGACGGAGAATGGAATCGTTCGAAAATGGATTTCCCGCTTCGAAGTGTGGCCGTACATGGAGACCTTCACTGAGGTAACTAATCATATTCGATCGATTTTCATTACTAAAGGCGAATTAACAATGCTTACAAACTCTGTTTTTCCTAGGATGTTGCTAAGGAGATTACCTCAGAGCTGCAGGCGAAGCCCGATCTGATCATCGGGAACTACAGCGAGGGCAACCTCGCCGCCTCTTTGCTAGCTCACAAGCTCGGCGTCACACAGGTGAATCGAATTTGATCTTTCTGCAGAATGTTAAAGAGTTTGTATCTGAAATTGTGTGATTCTTGGCAGTGTACCATTGCTCATGCTCTGGAGAAAACAAAGTATCCGGATTCGGATATTTACCTGAAGAATTACGACGAGAAGTATCACTTTTCCTGCCAGTTTACGGCGGATCTGTACGCGATGAACCACACCGACTTCATCATCACCAGTACCTTCCAAGAGATTGCCGGAAAGTATGTCGATAATGCACGACTTTTACGTGCTTCTAACCTCGATCGATGAACGCTGCTTTTACTAATGCTAATGAAAACTGCGTTTCCTTTCGTGTTACCAGCAAGGACACTGTCGGACAATACGAGAGCCACATGGCTTTCACAATGCCGGGATTGTACCGAGTCGTGCACGGCATCGATGTCTTTGATCCCAAATTCAACATCGTCTCTCCCGGGGCTGACATGAACCTTTACTTCCCGTACACCGAGAAGCAAAAGCGACTCACTGCTCTACACCCCGAAATCGAGGAGCTTCTCTTCAGCGACGTCGAAAATGAGGAGCATCTGTAAGTTTCCACTCATCGCTCAGAAATGTCGAACAATCTGAAGCTCTAACTAACTAATTTTGATTCCACAGATGTGTGCTCAAGGACAGGAACAAGCCAATCTTGTTCACCATGGCGAGGCTCGACCGTGTCAAGAACCTGACGGGGCTTGTGGAGCTGTACGCCAAGAACCCAAAGCTGCGGGAGCTGGTGAACCTTGTTGTAGTCGGGGGCGACAGAAGGAAAGAATCCAAGGACTTGGAAGAGCAGGCGGAGATGAAGAAGATGTACGATCTGATCGAGACCTACAAGCTGAACGGCCAATTCAGATGGATTTCTTCCCAGATGAACCGTGTCAGGAATGGCGAACTTTATCGCTACATTGCTGACACAAAGGGCGCGTTCGTGCAGCCTGCTTTCTACGAGGCTTTCGGGCTGACTGTTGTCGAGGCCATGACTTGTGGTTTACCAACATTCGCGACGCTGCACGGTGGTCCGGCTGAGATCATCGTCAATGGCAAGTCGGGATTCCATATTGATCCCTACAATGGCGAGCAGGTTGCCGAGACACTCGTTGCTTTCTTCGAGAAGTGCAAGAAGGATCCATCGTACTGGGAAAGTATCTCTGAGGGCGGCCTGAAACGAATCCAGGAGAAGTATATTTTGATTCTCATTCCTAGTATAAGTTTACGAGGTCGAATTTGCCTGTGGATAATGTGGTAAGAAACCAATCCTTTTCTTGTTTCCTGTCCAGGTATACATGGCAGATTTATTCAGACAGGCTGTTGACCTTGGCCGGAGTCTACGGTTTCTGGAAATATGTCTCGAAGCTCGACCGCCTTGAGATCAGACGCTACCTTGAGATGTTCTATGCGCTTAAGTATCGCAAACTGGTATGAGTAAACTCACTCTTCCCATCTTTCCTTTACGCCATTCAATTTGATCTTTCGACTCAAAACATTGTTGTTGTTGTTGTTAAGGCTGAAGCTGTTCCGTTGGCTGTCGAGTAAAAAGACGGGGGCGACGATGACAATGAAGACCTGCTGCTGCTGTAATAAGAATGGAAGTTTCTGGTGTTGCCATTGCTGCTGGAATATTGAGACTCTCTGTTTTGTTCTCTTTGCCTTTCCCCAAATTGAGTGTCGTTGTTTTACATTTCCCCTGTCAGTTTTTTTGGTGTAATCCTTGACATTTCTATTGTGCAATAACAACAGTCCATACTATTTGGTCTCTATTTCATCTCTTGCATTCGTTTCAAATATCTTCACTGGAATGATCAAGATTGGCTCTTTGGGGTCAAATGGAATCAAGAAACACCTCCAAGAACCTGACCAAAGTCCAGAGCAGAATGGTTGGCCTTCTTGTTCTTCTTCTTGTTGCCTGTGCAGCAATACTTGTGGCATTCTCATTGCTGAGTTTCCATTCAAGAAACCATCACAGTTGTCGTCGTCGTCGTCCTAATCAACAATCGGACAGAACTCTGCAAACGTTTGTTAGAAAGGTCTGCGCCGAGACCCTCTATCCGTCTCTGTGTTTTTCAACTCTATCCTCCATGCGGCCTTCAGATTACAGCAGCCATGGCCTATTCATCCAGATTCTTGAGTTCTTGATCAACCAAACTGCCGATCGGGTGGAGAGAGCCCGAACAAGCCTCGTATCTCATTTCTCGGGTATAGAGCTGAACACCCCGGAAAAGAATGCTCTCCAAGATTGCATGGAACTGCTCGATCAGACGAGGTATGAACTTAACGAAACCATCCACGAGTTGGGCATGAATCACGGGTACGGTAGTGTCAAGACACTTCTCAGCGCAGCGATGACGAATGAAAACACCTGCATCAACGGGTTTCTGGACTTGGAACAGCTCTATCCGGATCCACATTCGAAGGGCCGTGTCGAACATATCCAGAGCCTGCTGATTCCGGTTTCTCAGATGATCAGCAATAGCTTGGCCATCACAAGGCACGTGGAGGGCCCAAAGAGCAAACAACAACAAATCCTCAAGAAAACCAAGGATCTTGTCAAGATCACAACCGGAAAGTACAAGAATCCGAGACCACATGTGACGGTAGCCTCTGATGGGAGCGGAGACTACAAAACCATAGGCGAGGCCATTGCAAGGGCGCCATATATGGGCCCCAAAACTCATCGAATCAAGATCAAGGCAGGAGTTTATCATGAGCATGTCGTGATCTCGAGAGATAAGACCAACATTATGCTGATTGGGGATGACATGAACTCGACAATCATCACCGGGTCGAGAAACTTTGCAGATGGATACTCCACCTTCGAATCAGCCACATTAAGTAGGTCAAGTTCTCAATTCCATTTACTATAGATTGCCAAAATAATCAATTATTCGAATCAGTTGTGTTGCAGCTGTGGAAGGAGACAAATTCTTGGCCAGAGACTTAACCATACAAAACACAGCGACTCCGGAGAAGCACCAAGCAGTGGCTCTACGAGTAACATCCAATGCGGCATTCTACCGTTGCAGGATCATTTCCTATCAAGACACACTGTATGCCCATTCATTGCGCCAGCTGTACCGCGACTGCTCCATCCAGGGAACCATCGACTTCATCTTTGGGAACGCGGCAGCAGTCTTCCAGAACTGTAGGATACTCGTGCGCCAACCTATCCCTGGCCAGAGGAACATGATCACAGCTCAAGGGAGAGAGGATCCTAATCAGAATACAGGGATAATCTTGCAGAGTTGCACCATAGAGGCAGCCACAGAATTCATTCCCTCTAAGAGAAGAAGCTTTTCGACTTACCTGGGCAGGCCGTGGAGGAATTACTCGAGGACAATTGTTGTTAATAGCTATTTGGGAGACCTGATACACCCCCGGGGATGGTTTGCGTGGAATGAGCACAGCAATTTGGATATGGTGGAGTACATTGAGTGTGGGAATTCCGGACCTGGCGCAGATACCAAGCGGAGGATTTCATGGGCCGGGTACAGAAAGAACTGCAGTGAAGACATAGTTACACAGTTCAGTGTAGAAGAGTTCCTACATGTGGCAGGTGGCTGGTTTGAATCAACTGTTTTCCCACTTTTCAGCAGTTAGTAGAAAGAAACACCAAGAGGGAACATGTCATGGTTTCTACAAGAAGTACATACAATATTACGCCAATTAAAGAGAGAAATAGAGAGAGAAAGAGTAATTTGGCAACTCTTTCATAATTTGAGCCCAAGCCCTGTCAAGTGCCAACATAAGCACAAGTTAAGACTATTCTACTGCTGATCCTTAAGGATAAGTTTGGAGTCCACATTACAAGATCCAAACATATTAAACTGCCTAAAGTGACGACAATCTAGTCAATCTGAGATCGATCACATTCAACACAACTAGACCGTAACATATTAAACTGCTTGAAGTGATGATGATCTAGTCAACATCAGGGAATATGCCTAAATTGTTTGCGCCTTTCATGCATGAATCACTACCAATTAGAGAATACCAACTACAGTATGCCCTTGGGTGATGATATGTTTCAACCATTGCACGCAAATCTCCCTCAATCACACTTAGGGAAAATATCCCAAAATTTGAAGAAGAGTTGGATGAATGATTAAAAAAACAAAGAAAGAAAGAAAGATCACAAAAGAATATATGAGCATTGAACACTATATTCAGTCGATGGGATGAGGATTATGTTTGGTTAATATCCATATAAAAAATGGCCAAGCACCGGACACCTGAAGAGAATAAGCCCAAAGGATTTACCTAAGGTGTGTAACCCAAAAGATAGCTGCATAATTCAAAAACCTGAAGAACAGGAGAATGGTACTATTCCGCAAAAATTAAAGGCATAATCAACCAAGCATATATAGTTCAATAAGGTATATTTTCTAAGTTAACTCAGTGCACCAAATATCAAAAATAGCGAAACTTGTAGGGGTTTAAGTTTACCATACTGCCCTAATTACTCCCATACTGATGCAACCTTTGTTCGCATTGATTACAAATGGAATAAAGTTGATAACGTGTACCACAAAATGGTATTCGCCTCTTATTTTACAATATTATAGAGCATAAGGGAGTATATTCACAAGAGGCACAAACTACATAGTTTGGTGGAATACCGCAACCAACTTAATTGGGGTTTTCAAAGAGTTCTGAACTCTCTTCCGTGAACTAACAACAATAATAACGCAACCCTTCATTCACACAACAAACCCCTTCATTATCAGTAATTGGTCACCTGTCACCATACAGCAAGGTTCAAGTTGCATGGAAGAATATTCAAAGTCGAGGCGTATCTGGTGCTCAAGCATACACAGGATAAGTGAACCTTTACAACAATATAGCATTGAAAACTTAACACGCTCAGCTACATGATCCGCTGATTTAACAGCTCAAAGTTGTGACACTATGAAGTCATGATCCGTGCTACTTTACCCAGAAACCACTTACAATTTGTAATCTTCAAAATTGTAATTTCTCTAACATGTTTCAAGCATCTCTCAATATACTCATTACCTGAAAATTTAATCATCTTTTAATCTTCGTAGAAGTTTCGATGCCCAGCGTCTGACTCGTCGTTTCAGAGTGTAACCAACAAAAACTCCAGCAACAAAGCAAATGGCACAAATCTTTGAGCATGTCCAAAGTGATACAAATTGCCTGCATTAAAAGGATTAACGTTGAATTGTGTTCTCTTATGTCCTCCTTTTCCACTTAACACTACAGAAAACTGAAACAAATTCAAACATCACACATTCTCTACGTTTGAAGATCAGAATCATTAGAGCTGTGGAAGAAAACTCCATTGAGAAGCAATATAACAAATTCAAAAGGCTGATAAGGTCCCATGGTAAGAAAAACAAAAGGGTCACTATAAGCGCAATTGTAGTATATTCAAATTGCCTTGGCATTCATTTCAAATACTACTCAGATACAAATGCGTCCTTGGTAAATAGCCTGCAATATGTCTTTAATTCAAACTTGGATAGGGGTACGTTTGAACAATTCGACAAACTACAGATAAAAGGAATTCTAATAGAAGCTTGACAGCACATCTTATGTCAATGTTAGTCTAGTTAAAATTTATTTGTTTTTGACACAAAGTTGTGTGGAATACAAGAAGTGCAGCATCAGCTTCTTTCGTGATGAGACATTGTCATGCTTCACTAATGTAATCAGGCGAGAGCATATTTTAGAGAACAAAAGTATAGTCACAATATACGGAATCAATCAGCCAATGCTACTGCGACCAAATTTTGTCAGTCAGAAAGTATGTGTTTCAGACTATTTAGCCTTAACTGGTCATTTAAACAAAATTCTGTAGCAGCACAGCAGCATCAACCCAATGCTCATTTTCATTCTGATCGGTAAAGACAAAATGGCAATGGGCAACGACTCTATTTGAAATATCATGAAGCCCCAAAATAAGTATCCCAGTAAACCATTGCAAGTTATCAATCCATGCATCGAATGCTTATTCAAGTGACAGTCATTTGTGAGTCGTGTATATATAATTCATTCATCATTGGGCATAAGAATCCTCATATACACAACCATATCACCAAAATTGACAACAGCATCAAACCAGACACCAAAACTTGACGCGTTGCCTTAATTAAACCAGAACATTAAGTCACAGTAATTTAGTTCATTCTATGACTATCCATCCTGTATCTATAATTAATAGTGATAAATACAAATCTCGTCCTATTGCAGTTGCCATATTTCAAATTTAAGGAAATCAATGTTCAATATCACTTCCCCAAAGATATCAAGTCCAGAAGCAAAGAGGAATAAAAAGTCAAGCCAACGTCCAATTTTTTTGTTGTTTTTTAAACGCAAGCAAATAGAGGAATTGCTGTAGTATCGCAAGGCATGAAAGAGGGTAGTCATACCTCGAGGGGCGAGCCAGCAGCAAGCGAGAGTGGTCCGTTGAATACGAAGAAGAAGAGGAAGAAGGGAGAGAGTCGAGGGGCTTGTTAGTTTTCTCTAAGGAAGAGGCAAGAGAGGTGAGTTTTGCCTTGGATTCCTGCGCCTGCGCGACGGCATCGCTGTATGCTTTCCGCAGTCCTTCCATGGTCGATCGGAAATTTCCGTAGGTTTGGGGTTTGCAATACAGCGGGGGTGGGATCCTCGATACCGTTCAACACCCGGGCCGGGCCCCAGCCCAGCCATCAATAAACCCATACATGTGTAAAATTATACTTCTCCGGGCTAGTACATACTTATAAGTGAGAAAAGTGAGGTTAAAGCAATAAAAATTCCACAACTCATACATGTGTTATTGTGTTATATAATTCCAATAGGGTGTGTTTGTTTGGGTTTGGATTTTGAATTAGGATTTGAATAATAAAAATTTTGAATTTGAATAATTGTATGATGCTATATAAATAGGTATTGATATGACGTTTTGAATGTAAAATTAATTTTTAGCATAATATAAAAAATAAAGAATAAGTGTTTAATTTGATGTTTTGGAAAAAAAAAATGGAATAAATAATACAAATCTTCACAAGTCCCTCAAACAAACACACCAATGTAAAACCATCCATCTATTGAACATATCGTAGATATATACCCAGTAAGTGTACAACATTTTTCGTTGAATATTATTATATAAATGATGTGTTTCATTAAAATTTTATTAAGAAAAATTCTCGTGGAAAAAAAAATAATAACGAAGGAAAAGAGTACATTGTTCTTGTATTGATTCGTTCTTCTTAGTTTGGATTTAATTTGAGATCTTTAAGTGACACATTCCAATTCCTTTATCAATTTATTGAATGTTTGTGTGGGTAGAACCTTAGTTAATAAATGTAATTGTAAAATAATCGAATTTGTTGCACGGGTAGAACCTTAGTTAATAAATATAATTGTCAAATAATCGAATTTGTTGCACATCATTTTCACCATTCTTTTGAAGGTCGTGAGTAAGAAGAATTTTGGTAAAATATATTTTGTTGTATCCTTTAATGTATCTACCCTTTAATTGGACAATACAAAACAACATTGTTGGAGAATTTTTATTTCAGACATTAATCTACAATTATTTTAATACTATGAGTCATGACCTCAGTCAAACGCTTCATGAATAATCAATACTTTGGCATTTGATGATGTAATAATTGTTGTCTATTTGATGGATTTTCAGGATATTATAGTATCATCAAATTTAAATATATAACTAGTTTTTTATTTTGCTTTGTGCAAGTCAGACAAATACTCGGCATCGGCATAGCCTAATAGTTTGTTTCCCCTTCGTGGTGTTGCTTCGTAAGAAAATTTGGGGTTGGCGTGAAGTGAGTTGTGATTTGACCATATATATATATATTTCGTTGATTATCGTACTATTCTTTATTTTCTTCAAACTTATTTGTTTCTAACAACTAATACTCCTTGCGGGGGTGAAATTAGGGTTTTCTTCTCGAACAATGAATTGGAACTAAATGGTTATGTAATTTTCCCCAAATTTGTATCAATTGTGTTTTTTTATTTTTCAATTTTTTTTTATAAGTCATTTTTTTAAAAAAAAATTTTTTTTTTGGAATAGAAGAGATGAAAAAGACTATCATGGAAGTTTCCAGTGCTTGCTTCAAGAAAACATAGATTGAGCGAGTAGCAATTTTCCGGTGGTAGCGGAAGATTCCGGCACCGCCGTATACAGTTTATTATTAGCTAACAATCAACCGGAGCAGTAGCCTCCGAGCTACCAGAACCGGCCGCTAATGGCGGCGTATGCGACTGAACTGCCGCCATGCCATCGTGGAATAATAAATACCTGCCGTCGTTTTTGAGAATATTTCTTCCAAAACAAACGGGAAACCATTTGCATTTGATCGAACAATACTCCATTCTAGAATCCATTTTCCATGGCCGATTGTCTATTGGATTTTTTTTCCAGCTTTACAAAACTGATTCCGGCAGCTTTTCAAAATCTCTCTCTATCACATATTGAACACGTGCGTATTTAGCTCATGTTTGTATAAATACAACAATATATTATTGGATTGAAACAATACGTTCGTTTTATAGTTAACACGGTCGAGTTTGTTCAAAATTATATGTCATACGAGCTTTTGTTATAGTGATGATTTATTGTTTGTAAGAAACTAATTTTTTTAATTATTTTTAAATGAGTCTAAAAATTAAAAATTAAAAAAAAAAGAATTGATTATAACTAATAATCCATCAGTCCCACGTAATTTGTCCCTATTTTTATTTTCATTCGTCCCACATAACTTGTCCTTTCTATTTTTGAAAATATAATTATGCACTTTAATCGCAATTTAAATTTTATAATTTTTTTTAATTTTAATTAAACTATTTACTTATTTTAATCTTAATCTATAATTATTTTTACTAAATAATAATTATTTTCACTTATTTTCTATTTTTACTAATTATTTTTTTTTCATCTTCAGTTTAGTTTTGTTTTATTTTTTAAAAATAAAACTATAATCATACTGTTTTTTACTAAAAACTTCTTTTCGATTATATTTTATATTTTCACAAAAATTAATATTTAATATAAAATACTACCTCCGTCCGACTTTAAAAAGTCTTATTTACTTATTTTTCGTGTTGATTTTTTAGTATTAATTATTATATGAAATGGTAGTACAAATTAAGAGAAAATAATAAAAATACATCTATTAAGCACCATTTGGATTTGCTTCTGGCAGGAGCTTTTGACTTCTACTTCTAAAAACAGTAGTTTACACCTGTTTGCATTGGCTTCTGTCCAAAAGCAGAAGCAGCTTTTCAAGCTGAAAAGTGCTCTTTCCAGAAGCACATTAGGGATAGCTTGTAAAATAAGCAGAAGCACTTTTATCCTTCTTAATAATAATAATAATAATAATAATAATAATAATAATAATAAATACAATACAATAATATAATATAATATAAAAATAAATAACTTATATATTATATCTTAATAAAAATTTAAAAATATAATTAATTTATTATTGTTAATTTATGTATTATATTTGGATTAAAATTTAAATACTGAATTTAAATAGAAGTATATAAACTTTTTAATTATACTTAAATTACTAAATATAATTTATAAAATTTTAAAATAAATTATAAAAGACAAATTATTTAATAGTATATTGTAAATTTATATTTAATTCATATATTATCCTCAAATTAAAATTTTAAAATATAAATAATCAAAATTTAAAAGTATAATTTTTATACTTTAATTTAAAATCTTTAAGTACAATTTTAAAATTTAAATTAAATTATAAAAGTATTATAGAAAAATACTATTATATTAACTGCATGTCCTTTTAAGTAATTTTAACAGTTTAAACACAAAATCGAACTGCTTTTGCTTTTGACTTCTGCTTATTTTTTAAGTCAATCCAAACAGACCCTTATAATGATGCAAAAAAATTATATGAAAAATATTTTTAATGATAAATACAATAACATAAAAGATAAATGATGAGTATTATCTTTTATATTACCTGAATTATTCTCTATAATTTATATAAAAAAAACAAAACAAAAAAAAAAATCACATGAAAACACTAATCAAATAATTATAAATAGAAAAGTTGTCCCGCCTTGTCAGCACTAGTTTCAAGGTGTAATTTTTTATAGAATTCTGTAATAAATTTTTAAATTAAAATGATTATTTCATATTATATTTTAAATATAAAATTAAATCTTAATATAATAACTAATAAATAGATTTAATATTTAATATTTAAAAAAAAAATGATATAACAAAATCAAAACCAAAACATTACCAATAAACACACCATCAGTGATTTTACAATGCATATAAGAAAAAGTAGCAACTGAGTCTGAGGCATAATATAACTAACTGCAGCCACCATCACCATATTCATAATTTCACCGTCCCCAACAGAACAAAAAGAGTATCGCTCAACTACCAAAATTTTTTACGACTCACTCCCATTCATCTTTCAGTTTCCATTCTTCTTGCGCTTTTTCGACATCGAAAGGGCATTCGACACACTTTTCCCTTCCAGTTTCTTGGTCAGCTTCACCACACTTGCCATGCCTCTTCGGGCAGCTGCCCGTTGTTCCGGTCTTCGGCTCATCATCTTCCGATCAAGCGGCCAATATGCGTAGGGTTCAAGTTTGTCTTTTCTCTTCAAGTCACCTCTTGCCTTTTTGCTAGCGTATTCCTTCCCAGTGTATGCCCACCCCGCCTCTGATGTTGTCTTTAGCCGCTTTTTCGTTTTTCTTGAGCTGCCAGAAATTTCGCTCCTCCCATCATCTGCCTCGCCAGTTTCCAAGGAGGGATCTCGCTTCTGTTTCCTCTTACCATCCTCGCGAATAATTAGACGCCCTTCAGAATCTATCTCGAGTTCATCTTCCAAATCGGGCTTCCTCTTTAATGGCTGTGATAGTCGAAGTGCAGATCTTGTTCGTTGACTATCAAGTAAGTCGAGGGGCTCGTCGTCCAATTGGTTGAAGGAGTCTTCTTGTAAACTCTTTGCAGCTTTGCGGGCCCGCTTGGATCTGGTCATAGATACCAAGTTAGTTCAAAAACATTTAAAACGCCAAAGTCCTTAAGGTTGTGTAACGCATGTTCTACACAAATATCTACTGACCGTAACAAAGATGCCTTGGATTGCATTGCAGAGGAAAACTTGCTCCGACGAGTAGAAATGCTCTTTCCATCAGCAAACTCACCGTCGCTGTTCCTCGTTTCCACATCATCGAAATCAGAAAATATCCTTGTGTGATTCCATCGACTCATTCTCGATGTAGTCGCTCTTGACTGAATTGACCTATCTTCTGAGGATTTTGCAGATTGTTTCCTCTCAGTTCGCTCCTTAAGCTGCATGCATTCAGATAAATAATGCCATAAATATACGTGTATATACATATTTCTTCAAGGAATTTGAAAATCTGAAACCTTTCGAATATTTGTTAGGAGTTTCATATGCTCCTCAGGCATGACTTCTTTAACAGCATCCAGACCACATTTCCTCACGAGCATTCCCAGGAGCAATTTAACCTACAGACAGGATTACACATATAAATACATGCACACCTTATGACACAATTGACAACTTACAATCTAAGCACCAAGAGAATTTTATATGAGCTCGGAAGCCCTTTTTCTATTGGATGCATAGAATCTAAATCACATTCATTAATATGATCTACCAAAGCGCTAAACATTTACCTTTGCCTTGAAATGGTTTCTGGTACTATCTTGCCAATTCAGCAACCCTTCCACCATGCTTCGCAAGTATGTTTGCAGGCTATCAGTTGGCGATTTTGCAACCAATACTTTCAGCAAACCTAAATTAGCCTACAACAAATCCAGCAATCAATACAGCAAATAAAGAACAGCTAATTGCAGGAGTTGAGTCTAATTTTTATTTTATTTATTTTTTATGCGGGGCTACCAACCTTGATTATTTCTTTGTTTTTCCTTTGTAGTAGGAGAAGAGCAGATGGAAGAACATTGTAAGCAGCAGAAACAAGATCAGAGAACTCGTAGGCCAGACGAGCTAAGCCTGTCATCGCAGCACTGATCATATGGGGGCTCTCACCCGCCAGGCCACCAGCAACCTACATGCAAATAAATCAAACAGATTTCTCAATGTAAGGGGTTAGATGCACGTATTGGTGGCCACAAAACCACATACCATGTTAAAAAATTGATGCAACTTCTCCTTGCCACCATTCTCGTCTCCACAGATACGACCAATCTGTACAAGTATATCGGAAGCCTGGTTTCTTGTTTTCTTGTTTGCCTAAAATGATATAACCAAATACAACCATCATAAAAGTAAACATTCCTGATTGAGGAAGTCACATAAATGATAGAAGTTAAAGAATAATAACTTAAACATTTTCAGAATCTTCAGTCATAACAATTATAGGTTTAAGAGAAATTTAGTGGTTCCAGGTGAAAGATAAAATATAAATGCATATATATAGGTTTAACAGATTAATCCACAGCTCATCCAAAGAAGCCGTAAACCAGACTATTATAGAGAGACCAAGGACAGAATAAAACAAACTAAGAGATGGAGCATGGATGGTGCAATTTCAAGTTTCCGACCCATGATTCACAACAAAGATTCCAGCTATCATATGAACACAAAATATTTCTCATGATTCTGATCTTGCAAAGTCAAGTGTATTCACCTTGTGTATGAAGGCGTGTTTGGTTTGGATGTATTTTAAATGAAAATAATTGATTCATGTAGTAGATTTTAACACACACACGTGCACACAAGTGAACACAACAAAGGAGAAATGTAGTATTAGAAGCTCCACCTTTTGAATTTTAGCATCAAATAAAAATACAAATTAATCAACAAATAAAGTTTAGAGTCGTGAATGATCACGCTGTACCTCTTTTAGAGCTAATATAATTTCAGTAAGAAAAGAAGCAGTTATGTCTTGCCTCCTCTGTTCAGATCCTTCCTGCAGGCACAGGCACACAAAACTAAGTGAATGTGTTCAAATTGGAAACGTGTTTCACCTCTCCTACTCGACTGATCTAAAAGAAAAGATAAAACAAATACAGCTTGTTACCTTCAAAACATAAATAATCAAGAAGTATAAGCAGTCAAGTCTGTGGCGCTTAGCAGAAAAATGACAAGAGGGCAGCACTTCAATCATCAAATTGAGCATCTCTCCGAGTCTTCTTGAAATGAAATCGTCAGAACCCTGTTCACATCTTGTTGGTTATAAAATCTAGAAAACTCAACAGTAATAGTATGGGCAGCCTTTTTAGCCCCCTAAAAGAAGGAGAGTATACATGTCATAGCTGCACTAGGAACTTTAACAAAATACAACAAGAAGAAAGACCTTATTCATACCCACAAAAATACAACTGCATCTAGCATGCATCAAAATTTCTCATGCAGCAGCATATATCTAACAATGCAACCAAGTTATAAATAGGATACCACTTGTCAAAATTAGCAACTACTTCGACACCACTATTTTTCTGTGGAAGCAATAATATACCCAAAATATCTTGGAGGGCAGTAGAAAACCTTAAACACGTTTTTTTTTTTAAAAGAAAAAAACCACACTAAAAATACCTGGAAGATTATAGACAACACTCTATACGCCCTCTTCTGGATCAAGCCATCAGCATCCTAAGAACATAAAATCATATGCCCGAATTTCGTTAAGAATTTTTACATCTGAAGGTTTAGCTATCTTCCATAATATGCACGGTGATTGGTGAAATATAAGAATGCAAATGAACCTTCAATGCAGGTTGTATGGCAATAAATAGAAGATCAATTTCCTTTGAGTCCAACCCAGGTAGAAAGGAAACTGCAAGGTCAAACAGTCGAGCCCTGTATGCAAGAAAAAGATTATATAAAATTGTTGAAACTGACATCTAGCATTCTTAACACAAGCATGTATAAAGACAGCAAAAGATCAAACAACTCACCTGCCTTTTGACCGTGAACCATCATCCGATGAGTCAATCTGCATCATATTTGAATTTTTTGTATCATTTGAATTAGCAGCCTCCTGGGTAACCTTTAAAAGCTTCTGCATGGTTCTCTTGAAAATCCATGAGACCACTTGTCTATCAGATATAGAAGCAAGGTCACCAATAGTAGACTGCCAGAAGAAACAAGTAAAGCTATCATACAAACCGTTGGTGCTAGCTTTCACAGATAAAAACCACTGAAAGAGGCTCCCTTAATGTAATTGGATCATGTACCCAAGTAACTTTGACAAAACCAAGAACTATTTCACATTATAGCTACCAGTCAATTTTATTTTTATTAGCCGATTTTTATATTTTCCAAAATACAAGTATTTATGGACATCCGACAACCAATCCAAACATAAACTAGAAAACAGGCACAGTACCATATTATGAAAATAAGAAGACATCTGAACGAAGGTAAGGAAACAAAAGTATATATCACATATGTGAACTATGTAGACAGGAAATTTGATCAACCCATTACTAGAATTTTCCTTCTAATTTGAAATACTACCTTTTCAGTGTATACTGCAAGCTCCAGTAGTAAATTTTACAAATTAATACATACAGCATGCTGTAAGTATGCAATCAAACAATTCTTTACCATGAACTATAATCTACTTTCATGAAATAGTTCGTGTCTTGCCAACAATATGTACCACATCAGAAAAAAAATATAACAGCATCAAAATTGAAGAGTTCTCTTGCTCATCGGCAGCTAAAATCAAAATCATTCTGAAATAAAGATTGCTTGTCTAGCACTTGAAGCAGGAGGCATCGTAAGCAAATAGCAGGTACTAGACTACTGAAGCACAATAGGCTATATGCTGCATAACCACAGAGGCCATAGAAAATGCAAGTTACACAAATAATAAAGTTGACACGGTGAAGATCGATAAGTTATTTATCTGAATATACATAACCAATTGGTTTGCTGCCATAGAAACTACAGAATTACCTGCAAAATGCCCGCAGTATCTTTAGATGAATCTAAATAAACTCCTGTAAGAGCTGAAAATAATTCACGAGCAGATGATTTCAATGAACTCAGGTTTGATTCAGCAACTTGTGCAGTATAATGGGCAATAGCTCGTTCTTCTGCTACTTGTAGTTCAGAATTTGTACTATTATCCTTTCCTTCAACAATCTTCTTGTTCTGCTGAATAAGAATCTGCAAGCTGGAGCATATGATACCACGAACATCAGGCTCTTCTTTAAGAGTAGCACATAAAGCTCTCTCCAGATATTTGAAACTTTCAGAAGTATCAACTGGGAAATTGCAAAATGATGGTAGCAATGACCACAGGGAGTACACAATTCCATCAATACTCCTTGCAAATTGCAATTTTCCTTCTTGCTCAAGCTGGATTGAATATTGGCTAGTTAGCAAACAACATAACCAGCAAGTGCTAATAAAATATTCCAAGAGAGATCCATACCGCTGCAGACTTCTGCTTCATTTTTCCTACCAAGGGCAAAATTGACTTGGAAAAGAACTGCAAATGAGCTCCAACAGTGTACTGTTTCAGGATTGGGAATAGCCAAAGATTGCTTTCAGATAGATCTTCATCTTCCAAATTCAGTGGTATAAGACTCAGAAAGGCCTCAGGTCCCATAGAGCTAAGCGCTGCTCCTACACACTGGGTCAACTGCAAGAAGCCATTTGTTGTATCAAGAAGACCAATGTATATTAGACAGGAAAATTTGTTTAAATATTAAGGTGTACAGGAGTGCATTATCTTTGTCATGTAATGTGATTAAATGAACACCAATGAATCAAGCTTAAAGTATATAAGAATACCCAGATTAGCTTTCAAGCCTTTACAGGACTTTCTCGAAGAAAATTTCTTTATATATTCATAGCATTATTAATAGCATTCTTTTTTGGTGCTCATAAGTTACTATACCTCATAAAGTTAACTGAACAAAGGTAAAAACCAAATCGTGGGTTTGTTCACTTTGTATTTTGGGATGGATGTGTTTTTTTATGTTAGGTACGGGGAATTATGTTGGTAAGATAAAAAAAAATATATATTTTGTGTTTGACTTTTTGTGAGTGGGGTAAAATATATATATTATATATTGTGTTAATGTGTGTATATTACATTTTTTAAATAATATTTATTGAGAATCGTTCCACCTAAAAACACGAAGTGAACAAACCTTGTATGGTTTGAATTGATTCTCTATAGGGATGTCAACGGGGCGGGTTCGGGATGGGTTTTGCAGGCCCCGAGACCCGCCCCGCTAGAAAATATTAGGCTCCGAGACCCGCCCTGCCCCGCTTCCACCCGGCCCCAGGACCCGCTCCGCCCTGAACCCTCCGGGTTCGGGGCCAACTCAGCAAACCCGTTTTTTTAAAAAATATATAATAATAAATATTTTTTTAACAATCGAATACTAAAACAAATAGCATTAAAAGCACAAAAAAAAAACAATCAAATATTGATCCATAAAAATAAGATAAATAAATAAATAATATATTTTTATTATATAAATATACATATATTAGGTTAAAAAATTATTTGGAGCAGTCGACTAATTGAATTTTATATTTAAAATTATTTAAGTAAATAAATAATATATTTTTATTATATAAATGTACATATATATTAGTTATAATAATTTTAAAAAATATCCGGGTTCGGGTCCGGATCCAGGTTGGGGCGGATTTTTAGTAAAACCCGTAACCCGCCCCGAACCCGGCCGGATTTAAAATTTTAAATCCACAACCCGCCCCAAAACATATTATTTAGACCCGAAACCGCCCCATTAAGAGCGGGTCCGGGCGGGTCCGGGGCGGGTCCGGGGCTAACCCGCCCCATTTGACATCCCTAATTCTCTATATTCATTTAAGTGTTGTGATGGGAAAGAAGTTCTTGGTTTGATTTCAACATAATTGTTTATTTTAAGTACTAGAACAAATTAAGAAAATAGGCTTATACTTTTGGTTCATCAAAAGAAATCCAATTTAACCCTGAAAGATGTCAAATTCGAAACTCATTTCATATCATCTACTGAAGATGCATTCAAGGATAGTGATATTACATCACAGCAATCACATATGCTACTTGAGACGACTAGCAAAAACTTTCTAAAGAAAATACTGAAACATGTGACCCAATCAGTTTTTTGTGAAAGCATGTTAATAGAGTTAGAAACAGCAGAACTGAATTATTTAATTAAAATTATCTATCCATCAATAATGATTACCTGTTTCCTGAACACAAAGTCTTCATCTGGCAACTTTTGCAAATCAGCTAAGTTCTTTAGTGTACCTTTCAATAAGTAAAATGAAGACTTGCCTGTAATTCAGGAAGAAAGTTAATTCAGAAATTTAAAGAAAAAAAATGCCATACATGCTCAAATGATGAAATGAACATAGACAAAACTTTAAGGAATAGTTAAAATGTTCTAATACAGCAGTGTATCTACCTAATTTGTTAAACATGGTTGAAGCAATTTGAAATGACATATCCCAGACAGCTTCATAGTGATAATCAAGCAGACTTTCAATTGTCGAACAAACTTTTTCAATGATTGTGGGGCCAGATTTCCTTATAGCTGCATTGGCATTTGTGATAATCTCATCCACACCTTGTTTAATCAAGATCTCATCAATACATGAATTTATTAAGCTTTTAAATGTTTCCATTGATGCTACTGCAGCCCCCTCATGTTCAGAAGCCAAAACCTCTGGACAGAAAAAAAAAAAAAAAAAAAAAAAAAAAACATTATTCATGTGCATATTATCCTTTGATTTAATCAAAGAAACTCATGGAAAAAACTGAGAATAACATGTTTAAATAAGCAGTTACTGAATCTCCAAATCATCTTTTAGTCTATAATTAAGAGATGACAACAAGAAATTATTAACCTTTAAGTGCATTAAAAATGACGGGAAGCTTGACCACACATATTTGCCTGTTGCGAGAATAAACTAAATTCATCCCAATATTCAGCAGGCGTGTAGTAAATGTCATACTATCAGCAGATGATGGATTTGCAGAAACTGAAAAACCTAAAGAGCATAACAAATCAACCAAGAGTTCTGCAGATATGTCTCCAGCAGAATGGAGGCACAGAGCATTCAGCCCATCTGTTATGCGTTTGGTAACGATGGGATGTTTCAGCTCCAGCAAAGATTTGTAGTGCTTCAAGATTTTTGTTGAGGAAGTTGAGGCCATATAGGGCAGGCAAATTTTAAGGGCATCAAGAATGTATAGAACTTCCTGTGCAGCTTTGGACCCTTCTGAAACACTTGCATTAGATCCCCCAGCAAGCAAAAGAAATCTCTCAAAGACATTTACAATGACTTCACTTGCTTGTGAATGCAATGGTACTAACATTGGTACTGACTGAAAATACTTCAGGACTTCACGCAGACATAAATGTGATTGCTTCCTCACCTGCATTGCACCATCCAGACTCGTGCTTAGAAGGATAATCAAGACACCATATAGAAAGATAAGAAAAACAGATACAGTTTAAATGGAATACTCAGTGACAGACAGCTTCCGCTCACCGATTCCTCATCCACCTTCACATTAAAAGGCCTATTATTACATTGTCCACTCTCCACTACATAATTGATTCAACAGCGAATAGTGAAATGTAGCATCGTTCTTCTATCATTTATGTTATTAATAGGTAATATTGTCTATCAAAAGTACAAAAGCTAAACCCAAAATTATTTAACGTATTATTGTTTGTAGTTTAGAAAAATAAAAAATAAAAAAATTAAGGGATAATGTTGGGTTCTCTTTGCTTCAAATAAAGGAGAGGATTTTAATTCCCAAACAATCCAACAGAAGAAATTCATACAGTTGCACCCAAGAAAAAATTATCTTTAGGCAAAATTTCAAACAGGTGATTCCAAAGTAAAAAGAGATGAAAACTACGATCGTTCGAGCTTTCTTCCATGTCTAATTAAATTATGAAAATATATAACCCTCTAATACACAAGTTGGAACATATATTATCAGCGCAACAAAAACTAACCTACCCAGATAAAAACATATACATATTAAAGATACGATTTTTCCAACCTTTCCCCGATCATCAGTTACATAACTAATGAGGACGCCATGCAACTGCGACACATCTTCCCAGCCAATCTTATCCCTCACAATTAACAATCGAGACGCACACTTCAATGCGTGCACAACGGAATTATCCCCAACGGTTTTCAGACTGAGAAGCCGATTCAGAAGCTCGGATAAATAACTGTATTTCGTCTTGAGGACAGCGGGAGAAAATCGGTCGATAACTAAAGAAAGAATGGCAATCAAGGCGTCCAGGAGGTGGCACGGGGGATCGACGCTTGATAACAGGCGATCGAGAGAGGAGCACGTTGCTCCAAAGTACGCGATGGGGGTTATAGGAAGGTTCTGGTCTTTGAGTTCCTGCGACATGGCTCCAATGGCGGTGCAGATGTGGAGATGGTTCTCTTTCTTCGAATTGCTGAACTGCGACAGGACGGCGGAGCAGAATTCGTCCACCGATGATTGGTCCTGAGGCGGCGCGGCCATCTCGATCCCTTCCATTATTCGCCGGAAGATCAGCCAATGTGGAGGGAGCGGATTAAGATTTTTAGGGTTTTGCGGAGAAGCAGATAGATACGACGGCGTTTAAGGGTTTTGTTATTAGCTTGGCTTTCCATGTTTTCATTTGGACGGGATTTGGGCTAGGGATGGCTGTGATTTACAAATAATAAAAAAAAAAATTAAATTAAATTAAATTAAATTTGTGTTTATTTAATTTGAAATTGATTTTAAATGGGAGTATTGAATTATAATTTTTGTTTAAATTGTATTTTAATATAATATTTTGTAAAAAAAATATTTTATTTTTACTAAACATTGTGAAAAGTTAATAGTAATATTTATTTTGATTTAAAATAATGAAATAACAAACCATAAATTGCGTGTATTTTTACTAAAAACATAGAAAATTAATATATAATTTTCAAATTTAAAATTTTTACAAATCTGTTTTTATATTTTATTATTTTTTATCTTTTATAAATTAAGTTTTTTATTAGTTAAAAAATAATTTATTTTTATATATTTATATTTTTATTTAGATTTTATATAAGTATTATTCAAAGATATTAAGTGTGTTTGTTTTGTAAAATATTTTGAAATAGTATTTTTTATTTGAGATATAATGAATTATATAAATAATATAAAAATAATAAATGTGTGTGATATATTAAATTTTTTGAAAAAACATGTAAAAAAAATATAAAGTTAACACACCCTCAAATTTTAATTCATTGTTATAATATTTAGAATATTATCATAAAATAAATATGTAAAATAGTAAGATATTAAATATCATTTATAAAATTTATAAGTTATATAACTCAGTCCTCCAATTGTGTTTTTATTTGGTCGAACACCAATTTTTAAAAAAATAAAGAAAGAAAGAAATTTTTACTCTATGGTAAAAAAAATATTAAAAAATTAGTATTTTTTACTTAAAAACAAAAACAAATTTATAACAAAATAAAATGAGAACTAATTTGAAGGGAATATAATATATATGGAAGATTCCTAGATTTTACAAGCATAGAGAATGTGTTAGTTAAAGTTGTTTTTTCTCTTTTGTCTGTAAAGTAAATAAAGAGAAAGATGAGCTGTGTTATTACCGACCTAAAAAAAAAAAAAGACATATACATTTTTTTAAAAATATTAATAAATTATATATATTTTTATTATTTTTATATTTTTTATATGATTTTTTGTATCTCATATAAAAAAATATGTATTTAAAAATCGTAAAACCACCTCATTTATAAAATAATATAAAAAATCATATCATTTATAAAAATTAAATATACTAATAGAATATATATACAAATTAATACATCAATATGATAATATATGTGATAATCAAATTTATATATTTAATATTACAAAAATAAATATATTTAATTTTAGTTTCATAATTATTAAATTAATTCATAAATAAATAAATAAAATTTTAGTAAAAAAATTCATAGTCATAGGCATAAATATTTCAAGTTATCCTATTATAATTTAAATTAAAAAAAATTAATTATGTATCATAAAAATAGTAATTATAAAACTAATACATGAAAATAATATAAATTATAACTTCACTAATAAAAAGAAAAAAGTCATAAAAAAAGAAAATTTAAATCCAAAAAGATAAATATGATAAAATATATTAAAGTAATTTATAAATAAATAAATAAAATTTTAGTACCAAATATTACATGAATAAATATTACAAATCATTCGGCAAACAACTTTGATGTTTAAACAAAAATATAAAATAATAAATTTCGATTTACCTATTATCACACTTTTAACCGCATTACCCTTTTCTTACTTTAAGGGCGATAACATGTATATCTATCTATATATATATAATTAGTTTTTCTCCAATAACATTGAAAATCACTAAAAGAATAAAAAATTAAAATAAAATATAGTTTAATATAAATTATAATCAATTGGAAATAATGTTTAATAAAATAATTGTTTAGAAGACAACCCTTTTCGAATCTCAACTTTATGTCCTAAAAGAAAAAAAAAGCAACAAAACAAACAATTTGAAAGTAACAAAGAAAAATCTAAAAATTATTCAGTTGAACCCTCCACTCCAGCAAACAACTTCTCATATTTAGAAGAAGGACAGTATTTAAGATCCCCAACTTTATGGGTGGACAGAAAAAATATAAAAAAATAAACAATTTAAAAAAAAATAAAAAAATCTAACAATTATAAATATATATAATATTATTAATAAAGAAGAATGACAAAATAACTAAATATTACAATAAAAACTATTATTTCAAAAAATATATATAATAAATATAATATATAATATTATAAAAAGAAAACAATAATTCATTGTAAATACATCAATAATAATAAATTTCAATATTTTTATTCTCACCCTTTAGTCGCATTACCCTTCTCTCACATGTCTATATATATATATATATAAATCAGTTTTTCTCCACTAACATTGAAACCACCACTATCAAACCACTGCTATCCTACTATTTCAAAACTGTCATTTACATCATCAATCATTTATTTTTATTTTGATAATTAAAAAAAAGATTAACTCTAAATCTAAAAATAAAAATTAAAAAACTGTAATTAAAAAAATCAAAAAAATCTCAAAATTCTGAAATTGAAGGATTATAGAAATTTACAAAAAAAATGGGATCCAGTTTTGAGCACTTTTATATATATATATGATATGATATATTAACAACAACAACAAGAACAATAATAATAATAATAATAATAATAATAATAATAATAATAATAATAATAATAATAATAATATCGAGATTTTTTTTTTAAGGAGAAATTTTGTAATGTACAATATTTTTATAATTATCTATGAAAATTTAATAAAATCATAGGCTTTAAAAATTTATGTATGGTATACTTCATGATTTTAATTTTTTTTAAAAAATTTAAATTAAATACTTCGAGATTTAGGGCGTGTTTGGCAATTAACGGTTAGCTGTTAGCTGATTCAATTAGCTGTTAGCTGTTAGCTGATTCAATTAGCTAGTTTGACTAGCTGATTCGATTAGCTGTTTGTATTAAAATGTTTGGTAAAATTATACGTAAAATGACAATTAAGGACATTTCTATTTTATTCTTGTTTATAATATATTCGATTATGTTTTTTGAGTTTAGAATGTTTAAAATTTTTTGTTATTAGTTATTGAAAATTGTAAAAGTGTTATAAAAGTATTTATTTTTATTACAGTTAGATTTAAAAATAATATATTTTTATTAAAATATATAAATTGCTTTTTTTATTGAAAATAATGTAAAATATAAAATAATAAATTTTTCGTGTATATTTATTATGTTAGTTATCTATTAGTTCATTATATTTATAATTTTCAATAAATTTAATTTATTTTTAGTATAAAATTTATATAATGTAATTTTAATAAAAAAATAAATTATTAGTATTTATATTTTATATTTTATGTTGATTTTAATAAATTTATATATTTTACAATTAAAATAATTTTTATATAAAAATTAATTATTTTAAATTTATAAAAGTAAAAGTATAATATAATAAAATATTTTAATATAATTTAAAAATAATCAAAATATATTTATTCGTGTAAATTTTATAATAAATTTTTAAGGGCATATAAGGAATAAAATTTTATTGAAAAAACTATTTCAAAACGTTGGGTAAGTTAGCTTTTCATAAATTAGTTTTTTGGGTCAAAAAGTTATTCAAAAAAATTAATTTAACAAACACCTAAATTAACTTTTTGACTAGTCAAACAGCTAAATCTATTCAACAAACTAAAAACTCTTCAAAAACTATTTGCCAAACACCACCTTAAACATAATAAAAAATTTGAAGAAATATACCCAATTTTTTAAAAAAATTCAACAAAATTATGCAGAATTGTATTAAATACACCCTGAAATATAGATGACTTTTTCCAACTATTGCTTTTGCTCTAAAAATAGATTTGCAGCTTAGTAGTGGGGTCCATACAATATTTTAAAAAAATAAAAAATATTCAGGAGTTGCCACGTGGATAACTTAGGCTTAGGCCTTTCACTTTCAAGCCACAAAATAACGATTTCTAGACGCCGCGCGCCTCACTCTTTTTTCTTCTTATTTTATTACTCTCCGCTATTGTCGCAGTTCAGCAAATCGAAGAAATAGCACCATTCTCCATATCTGCGCCGCCATTGGAGCCACGTCGCAGGAACTCAAAGATCAGAACCTTCCTCTAACCCCTCCATCGCGTACTCTGGAGCAACGTGCTCCTCTCACGATCGCCAGTCCGCGCCCCCTCTTGGACGCCTTGATTGCCATTCTTTCTTCAGTGATCGACCGATTTCCCCCCGCCGTTCCTCAAGAAAAAAAATACAGTTATTTATCAGAGCTTCTGAATCGGATTCTCTGTATGGAAACCGTTGGGGATAATTCCGTTGCGCACGAATTGGAGTGTGCGTCTCGATTGTTAATTGTGAAGGATAAGAGTGGCTGGGAAGATGTGTCGCAGTTGTATGGCTTCCTCATTAGTCATGTAACTGATGATCTAGGAAAGGTTGGAAAAATCGTATCTTTAATATGTATGTTTTTTTATCTGGTTTGGTTATTTTTCGGTTGGGGGATAATGTATGTTCTAACTTGAGTAATAGAAGCTTATATATTTTCTTTTTGATCGGAAAAGCTTATATATATTTTCTTGATTTAATGAGACATGGAAGAAAGGTAGGACGATCGTAGTTTTCATCTATTTTTACTTTGGAATCACCTGTTTGAAGCTTTGCCGAAAGATCATGTTTTCTTGGGGTGCCACAAGAGCTGTTAAATGTTCGAGCCTAACTCGAACTTGTTAGAGGTACATGCTCGACTTGTTAAAATTTTGAGTTACTCAAATTCAAAACTCGAGCTTGAGTTTGAGTTCGGCTCAAATTTTATACATATTATATATATTTCTAATATATAAATTAAACATATCTAATTTTATTTATAATTTATTAAAATAAAATATTCAAATTATATTAATGAATACAAACTTTGATATAAAAAAAATATATACTCTATTAATATATAAAATAAAATAAATATGTAATCACTAACAAGCTCAATCAAGCTACCCGAGCTACCCGCAAGCCGAGCTCGAGCTCAACTCATTTAACAAAGTAATAATTTTTTGGTTCGAGCTCAGGTTGTTTATCTCTATAAATGAGTCGAGTTAGTTGTTAACGAGGTGGGTTGAGCTTGGCTCGCGAGCTAAGGTTAGTTTAATAACTCTAGGTGCAACTGCAGGTGTTTCTTTTGTTTGGGAATTGACGTTCCATCCTTATTCGAAGCAAAGAGAACTCGAAATTATCTCCCCATCTTTTTTCTAAACTACAAACAGTAATACGATAAATGATTTTGGATTTAGCTTTTGTGCTTTTGATAGATAATATTTACCGAGTTATAGCATAAATAATAGACGAACGATGCTATTTTTCTCTATATGCTGTTGAATGAATTAAGTAGTGGAGAATGGACAATGTAATAATAGGCCTTTTAATGTGAAGGCTGATGAAGAATCCATGAGTGGGGAGCTGTATGTCACTGAGTATTCCATTTAAACTGTAGCTGTTCTTCTTATCTTTCAATATGGTATCTTGATTATCCTCACTAAGCACGAGGCTGGATGGTGCAATGCAGGTGAGGAAGCAATCACATTTATGTCTGCGTGAAGTCCTGAAGTATTTTCAGTCGGCACCAATGTTAGCACCATTGCATTCACAAGCAAGTGAAGTCATTGTAAATGTCTTTGAGAGATATATTTCTCTTGCTGGGGGATCTAATGCAAGTGTTTCAGAAAGGCCCAAAGCTGCACAGGAAGTTATATACATTCTTGATGCCCTTAAAATTTTCCTGCCCTATATTGCCTCAACTTCCTCAACAAAAATCTTGAAGCACTACAAATCGTTGCTGGAACTGAAACATTTCACTGTTACCAAACGCATAACAGATGGACTAAATACTCTATGCCTCCATTCTCCTGGAGACATATCTGCAGAACTCCTGGTTGATTTGTTATGCTCTTTAGGTTTATCAGTTTCTGCAAACCCATCAACTGCTGATAGTATGAAATTTACTACTCGCCTGCTGAACATTGGGATGAAGTTAGTTTATTCTCGCAACAGGCAAATATGTGTGGTCAAGCTTCCTGTCATTTTTAATGCACTGAAAGGTTAATAATTCCTCATTTTGTTTCTTGGATCTATAGTTCTCCCTTAGTTATAGACGAAAAGATGATTTGGAGATTCTGTAACTAAGTATTTAAATATGTTATCCTCTGTTTTTTTTCCTATGAGTTTCTTCGATTATATCAAAGGATAATATGCACATGAATAATATTCTGTATTTTCTTTCTATCCAGAGGTTTTGGCTTCTGAACATGTGGGGGCTGCAGTAGCATCAGTGGCAACATTTAAAAGATTAATAAATTCATGTATTGATGAGAGCTTGATCAAAGAAGGTGTGGATGAGATTATAACCAATGCCAATGCAGCTGTAAGGAAATCAGGTCCCACAATCATTGAAAAAGTTTGTTCGACCATTGAAAGTCTGCTTGATTATCACTATGGAACTCTCTGGGATATGTCGTTTCAAATTGCTTCAACCATGTTTAACAAATTAGGTAGATACAATGCTTTCTTAGAACGTTTTCATTTGTTCTTAAATGCTTTGTTCTACGATCATTTCATCATTTGAGCATCTATGACATATTTTTTCCTTAAAATTTTTTAATATTAACTTTCTTCCTAAATTACAGGCAAGTCTTCATTTTACTTACTGAAAGGAACACTCAAGAAGTTAGCTGATTTGCAAAAGTTGCCAGGTGAAAGGTTTGCTTTCAGGAAACAGGTAATTGTTAATGATGATAGATAATTTCAATTAAATAATTCAGTTCTTCTGTTTCTAACTCTATTAACATGCTTAAAAGACTTATTGCGCAACATGTTTCGGTATTTTCTTTAGAAAGGTTTTGCCATTCCTCTCAAGTAGCATGTGTGATTGCTGTGATGCAATATCACTGTCCTTAAATTCATCTTCAGCAGATGATTAGAAATAAGTTTCGAATTTGACATCTTTGAGGGGTAAATTGTATCTCTTTTGATAACCTAAAAGTACAAGCCTATTATCTTAATTTGTCCTAGTACTTTAAAGAAACAATTATCTTGAAAGTGAGCCAAGAATTTCTTTCCCATCCCAGCACTTAATATGAATATATATAGAATCAGTTCAAAACATAGTTTTTGTCTTTGTCTAGTTTAACTTTACGAGGAATAGTAACTAGGAGCATCAACAATCACAATGCTAATGAATATATAAAGAAATTTTCTTCGAGAAAGTCCTTTAAAAGCTTGAAAGCTAATATGGGTATTCTTATGTACTTTAAGCTTGATTCATTGTTGTTCTCAAAAATAATTGATAAACATCTAATCACATTACATGACAATGATGAATGCACACCTGTACACATTAATGATCTTTAACAAAATTTTCTGTCTGATATACTGTTGAGTATCCCACAGTGGAACTAATATTGGGGCTCCCCTACCTTATAGTGAAAGACTACTCACTTTAATACCGATTGGTTTTAAGTTGGAACGTCGGATCTCTTCTTAACATGGCACACCAGAGCCATAGGTCTTTTGTTTGAGTCTCACCGTCCTCATTCGTTGTCGTCTACATGCAAGTTTCATATGGTGGAGTATATCCCCTTGAATGTGAGAGGCCTATTGGTTGACTCTCGTTTGTAGATAAATAAATAAATAAGTAAATGGTGTTTATCCCTAATAGCTTAAACTTTTAGGTGAGACAGTCATTTTTATTATCTAACATATGCATTGGTCTTTTTGATACTACAAATGGCTCTTGCAGTTGACCAAGTGTGCAGGAGCAGCACTTAGCTCTATGGGACCAGAGGCCTTCCTGAATCTTATACCACTGAATTTGGAAGATGAAGATCTATCTGAAAGCAATCTTTGGCTATTCCCTATCCTGAAACAGTATACTGTTGGTGCTCATTTGCAATTCTTTTCCAAGTCAATTTTGCCCTTGGTAGAAAAAATGAAGCAGAAGTCTGCAGTGGTATGGATCTCTCTGGAAATATTTTATTAGCACTTACTGGTTATGTTGTTTGCTAACTAGCCAATATTCAATCTAGCTTGAGCAAGAAGGAAAATTGCAATCTGCAAGGAGTATTGATGGAATTGTGTACTCCCTGTGGTCTTTGCTGCCATCATTTTGCAATTTCCCAGTTGATACTTCTGAAAGTTTCAAGGATCTGGAGGGAGCTTTATGTGCTACTCTTAAAGAAGAGCCTGATGTTCGTGGTATCATATGCTCCAGCTTGCAGATTCTTATTCAGCAGAACAAGAAGATTGTTGAAGGAAAAGAGAATAGTACAAATTATGAACTACAATTAGCGGAAGAACGAGCTATTGCCCATTATACTGCACAAGTTTCTGAATCAAACTTGAGCTCATTGAAATCATCAGCTCATGAATTATTTTCAGCTCTTACACATGTTTACTTAAAGTCTTCCAAAGATACTGCTGCCATTTTGCAGGTAATTCTGTAGCTTCTACGCCAGCAAACTAATTGGTTATGCCTATTTAGATAATTAACTTATCTATCTTCACTGTTTCAATATTTGAGAAACTTACTTTTTCTATAGCCTCTGTGGATATGCAACATATCTCCTATTGTGGTACAGTAGTCTACTACCTGTTATTTGCTTAAGCTGCCTTCTGCTTCATGTGCTAGACAACTAAGACAAGCGATCTTTATTTCAGAATGTTTTTTATGTTAACTGCGATTGAGTTAGAAAACCCTTCTTGAATTTTGATGCTCATTTTTTTTTTTTTTCTAATGTGGTGCATATTGTCAAGACATGAAATATTTCATGAAAGTAGATTATAGTTCATGGTAAAGAACCATTAGATTGTGTATGTACGGCAGTCTATATTAATCTTTTGTAAATTAACTACTTGAACTTGCAGGATATACTGAAAGGATATTTCTTTAAAATTAGGACAATTCTAGTAATGGGTCTATCAAACATTAATTTTGTTTGGCTGTGGTTTGAAATTGATTTGAAATAGGGTGTTGATTTGAGTTTTTGTTGAAATAGTATTTTATTGTGATGTTTTGTGAGAGAAAAACATATTTTTATTAGAAACTGTGTGGAGTAAATAGTGCTGATTTTAGTTTCAAACAACAACCAAACAAATATAGAAGTTTCTTACCTTCATTCAGATTTCTTATTCATAATATGGTACTGTGGCTGTTCTTTATATTATGTTTGGATAGGTTGTCGGATATCCATGAATACATATATATTGGAAATTGTAAAAGTAGGCTAATAAAAATAAAATTGGGTGGTAGCTATAATGCTAAATAGGTTTTGGTTTTGTCAAAGTTACTTGCTTACATGATCCAACTACATTAATGGAACCTCTTTCAGTAGTTTTTATCTCTAAAAGCTAGCACGAACAGTTTGTTTTAATAACCTTACTTGTTTCTGGCAGTCTACTATTGGTGACCTTGCTTCGATATCTGATAGACAAGTGGTCTCATGGTTTTTCAAGAGAACCATGCAGAAGCTTTTAAAGGTTACCCACGAGGCTGCTAATTCAAATGATACAAAAGATTCCAATATGATGCAGATTGACTCATCGAATGATGGCTTAAGGTCAAAAGTCAGGTGAGTCGTTTGATCTTTTGCTGTCTTGATGCATTCACATTCATGTGTTAAGAATGCTAGATGTCATTTCCAACAATTTTATATAATCCTTTTCTTGAATACAGGGCTCGACTATTTGACCTTGCAGTTTCCTTTCTACCTGGGTTGGACTCAAAGGAAATTGATCTTCTATTTACTGCTATACAACCTGCATTGAAGGTTCACCTGCATTCTTATCTTTCACCTATCACCCTGCATATTATGGAAGACAGCTAAACCTTCAGATATAAAATTTTTTAATGAAATTTTGGTGTATGGTTTATGTTTTTAGGATGCTGATGGCTTGATCCAGAAAAGGGCGTATAGAGTTTTGTCTATAATCTTTCAGGTATTTTTAATGTAGTTTTTTTAAACTTGGTTAAGGTTTTCTACTGCCCTCCAAGATATATTGGGTATTGTATTGCTTCCATGAAAAAATACAGGTTTGGAAGTCTTTGCTAATTTTGACAAGTGGTATCCTATTTATAACTTGGTTGCGTTGTTAAAGTTCCTAGTGCCGCTATGACATGTATACTCTCCTACTCCTTTTAGGGGGCTAAAAATGCTGACCATATTAGTACTGTTGAGTTTTCTAAATAGTATAACTGAAGAGACATGAACAGGGATCTGACGATTTCATTTCAAGAAGACTCGGAGAGATGCTCAATTTGATGATTGAATTGCTGTCGTCTTGTCATTTTTCTGCTAAGCACCACAGACTTGACTGCTTATACTTCTTGATTATTTATGTTTTGAAGGTAACAAGATGTATTTGTTTAATCTTTTCTTTTAGATCAGCCGAGGTGAAAACCAGGTTGTTCAATTAAACACATTCACTGAGTTTTGTGTGCCTATGCCGGCAGGAATCCGAACAGAAGCAAGACATAACTGCTTCTTTCCTTACTGAAATTATATTAGCTCTAAAAGAGGTACAGCATGACCATTCACGACTCTTGTTGATTAATTTGTATTTTGATTACACTAAAATTCAAAAGGTGGAGCTTCTAATACTATATTTCTCCTTTGTTGTGGGAGCATGTCCTTTGTTAGCACTTAGCACTGTTTAAGGGTTTCATACACCAAAAGATTTTTGTATGTTGCTGAGTGTGTTTTTATAAGCCATATACTTGCTTTGTCGATGCTCCAGAACTTAAATATTTATGTTATTTATTTATTCTATGGGTTAGTGTATATAATTGATGCTTTATAGAGTTCAACAGTAGCTTTCAAAAAATTTGATGAATAGTAAGTTGGAGAGACTGATCTTATGGCTTCTTTTATGAGCCGTGGATTCATTTGTTAAATATATATATGTGGTGGTGGTTAGAAGTGAGCACAGTGCTGATTTGACCAAGTTAGCACACCAATTTGAAACAATTAGTATTTCATCATTAGGTGGTGTGATGTGGAAAGCTCAACAGCTTTTTCATAAGAAATATGAGATCGATTTTCAACAAACAATGCAAAGTGTTATATAGAAGCATATGTGTGTTATTATACACTGTATTAATATTTGTTGTGTGAGTTTATATTGTCTTGCGCTGTATAATCTGCTTATTGTGTTGAAATCAAAATATATTTTGCTACATGTAATTATATAATGATTTATGAAAATATGTGCTATCGAATATTGTTATTTTTTTTATAAATATGTGCTGATTGAATCAAATCAACACCATGCTGATTTGACCCAACCGACACATAAACCAAACAATATATATATTTTTTAAACCTATATATATGCATTTATATATCATTTTTCACTTGGAGCCACTAACTTTCTCTTCAACTTATACAATTATTATGACTCAGAGTTTTTCTCAGCTAGATATAGCATTTTCTTAACTGAAGATTATGAAAATGTTTAAAGTTTTTCTAGCCAATTATATGACTTTCTCAATCAGGAATGTTTACTTTTCTAATGGTTGTATCTGGTTATATCTTTGTAGGCAAGCAAGGAAACAAGAAACAGGGCATCCGATATACTTGTCCAGATTGGTCATATCTGTGAAGATGAGAATGATGGCAAGGAGAAGTTGCACCAATTTTTTATCATGGTATGTGGTTTCGAGGTCTCAAATACGTGCATCTGCCCCTTTACATCGAGAAATCTGTTGGATTTATTCACATGTAGATTGCTGGTGGCCTGGCTGGTGAGAGCCCCCATATGATCAGTGCTACGATGACAGGCTTAGCTCGTTTGGCCTACGAGTTCTCTGATCTTGTTTCTGCTGCTTACAATGTTCTTCCATCTGCTCTTCTCCTACTACAAAGGAAAAACAGTGAAACAATCAAGGTTGGTAGCCCCACAAAGAAAAAAAGGAAAATTAGACTCAACTCCCGCAATCAGCTGTTTTTCATTTGCTCTGTGTGTTGCTGGATTTGTTGTAGGCTAATTTAGGTTTGCTGAAAGTATTGGTTGCAAAATCGCAAGCTGATAGCCTGCAAGCGCATTTGCGAAGTATGGTGGAAGGGTTGCTGAATTGGCAAGATGATACCAGAAACCATTTCGAGGCAAAATTAAATATTTAGCTCTTCCATAGATCATATTAATGAATGTGATTTAGATTCTATGCATCCTCCAGAAAATGTGTTTCCGAGCTCTTATAAAAATTGTCTCTCGGCGTCCATGTATTTACATGTACTCCTGTCTTTAGGTTAAATTGCTTCTGCGAATGCTCGTGAGGAAATGTGGTCTGGATGCCGTCAAAGAAGTCATGCCTGAGGAGCATATGAAACTCCTAACAAACATTCGAAAGGTTTCTGATTTTCAAATTCCTCAAAGAAATATGTATGCACACATATATTTATTATTTATCCGAATAGATGAAGCTTATGGAGCGAAACGTGAGGAAACAGCCTGCAAAATCCTCAGAAGATAGATCAATTCAATTAAGAGCAACTACGTCAAGAACGAGTCGATGGAATCACACAAGCATATCTTCTGATTTTGCTGATGGAAAGGGCATTACTACTCGTCCAAGAACGATTTCCTACCCAATGCATTCCAAGGCATCTCTGTTAAGGTTAGTAGAATATTTCTATAGAACACATCACGTCGTACTTATGGCCATGCATTACACATAACCTTAAGGACCGTTGCTTTACATGTCTTCGAACTAACATGGTAGCTACAACCAGATCCAAGCAATTGGCTGACAAGCCCCTCGACTTACTTGATAGTCTGCGAACAAGGTCTGCACTTCGACAATCACAGCCATTAAAGAGGAAGCCTGATTTGGAAGATGATCTCGAGATGGATTCTGAAGGGCGTCTAATTATTCGTGAGGATGGTAAGAGGAAGCAGAAGCGAGATTGCCCCATGGAAACTGATGAGGCAGATGATGAGAGGAGTGAAGTTTCTGGCAGCTCAAGAAAAACGAAAAAGCGGCTAAAGACAACATCAGAGGCCGCGGGGGTGTACACTCACAAGATATATGATAGCAGAAAGGCAAGAGGTGATGTGAAGAGAAAAGACAAAGTTGAACCTAATGCATATCGGCCGCTTGATCGGAAGATGATGAGTCGAAGGCCGGAACAAACGGCGGCTGCCCGAAGCGGCATGGAAAGTGTGGTGATGCTGACCAAGAAACTGGAAGGGATAAGTGTGTCGAATAGAATGGAAACTGAAAGGTGAATGGGTGGCTGTGTGGAGTTAACTAAATGGGAATGAGTCAGTCAAAATTTTGGTAGTTGATCATTCAATGTTTTTGGTAGTTTAAGAATAAGGCCCGTTTGGATTGGTTCGTGGGGGCTGGTTTTAGCTGGACACAATTTTTGAAGCTAAGTTTTTTTCAGAAGACTTGAAGTTGAAAATTGATTTTTTTTAAAAGCTGATGGTAACTTCTGAAATTATTATATTACGAGAATATCACATAATTATCGAAAAATAAAATTCGCTATCAAAATAATTTATCAAAATAAATTCGATAATCACGAAAATTATATTGAAATAAATTCAATAATCAATTTATGAAAATAAATTTGATAATCTTAATAATTTTATCAAAATAAATTCGATAATCACGTCGAGTCGAGGTATAAAATCTCTTTGTAAAAACAAATACGCTCTGGTAGTGCTTCCGATGTTCGTTTCTAAATTAGATGACACTCCAATATTCGAAGTTCTGATAAACTAAAATGAAGTTAGCACGCATCGTGTTGGGAGAGAACTCACTGAAAACTTTACTAGAAAACTTTACCGGAGATAGGAGAGGTATTGGTGTTGGTGTGTTATAGAAATTGGTGTGAGGAGGGCCTTTTATAGGCACCTCCATCCTTGGGGCAATTAATGCCCGAATCGAAACCACCGTAAATGATAACAATTAATTTTTGGTAACGTTCGATCATAAACATCAAACTTAATTCCAATCATATATATTATTTGAATTTTTTAAATTTTAAATAATTATTTATCATACATGCATACAATTATAATTTTTAAATTCGGGTGGTAGGCGTGTCTATGGTTTATTGTTACCGGCATGTATATGCCTAACCTCAACTCACTGAATAATCGATTTCGAAAATTATGAATTTAATTCAAATTAAATTTCATCTATTAATTAATTTGGTAAACAATTTTTTCAAAATTTTTTAGAAGAACTTTTAGTTATTTGACCAATAAACTAACTAATTTTGGTGTTTGATAAATTATTTTTTAATAAATATTGTAAATTTAAAGAGTCATGAGAACTCCTTAGAATGTTGATAGAAATTATTAAATGATTTACTACAAAAAGGAGTTCTCGAAACTCGTTAAATCTACAATCAAAGAGTTTTGAAAACTCTTCAATTTGTCAAAATTAATTTGAAAAAAATTCTTGATTTAGGATATTTATTTAAAAAAACCCCATCTATATGCATTTAATTTTTATTTTAATATAAATTTTATCAATTTTGATATCATATAAACAATTTTAAATAATTTTGATTATATGGTTGAAAAATTAACAAAAAAATATTGACCTAAACATAATGAGTTAGGATGTGGGCCATGTACTAATAATAAGCAATGTTCTTAAAAGAAAAACATAAAACGCACAACTGTCTTAAGGAAAGAAATTTGATCGGTTTCCACTCTCGAATTTGATAAATATGCCATCGAACTTATAATAAGATCAAAATGGATTAATTTTTTTTTTTTATATTAAAATCAAAATGAATTATTATTAATTTCAACAGGATCATTTTTTTAATTTTGATTTCTGTTTTTTTTTTTTTTTTACTGCGATTTCTCTTCTTTTAAGGGTGTGTTTGTTTGGGGATTGGATTTACACTATTCATCCAATTTTTTTCCCCCAAAACATCAAATCAAATACCTATTTTTTTTTATATTATATTAAAAATCATTTTTACATTCAAAACATTACACCAATACCTATTTATATCACATCATACAACTATTCAAATTCAAAATTTTTACTATTTAAATCTTGAGATTTGATTTGATTTGATGTTTTGGGGGAAAAAAATTGGATGAATAGTATAAATCCAATTGAATCCCCCAAACAAACACACCTTTGAAGGATTTTGGTGAATTTCCACTATTCATCCAATTTTTTCCCCCCAAAAACATCAAATCAAATACCTATTTTTCATTTTTTATATTATACTAAAAATCAATTTTACATTCAAAACATCACATCAAACCCTATTTATATCACATCATACAACTATTCAAATTTAAAATTTTTATTATTCAAATCCCAACTCAAAATCCAAACCCCCAAACAAACACACCCTTAATGTATTCCACACAAACAAACAAAGGATAAAACAAGGAGGTAGAGAGACTGAGAGAAAGCATGTCATAAGAAGTTTTTATCACATGAAAATTGAAGCCACCGGCCTCCCTGTTCAAATTTATTTCATGTGTTAGTCCAAGACATAGAGAGAGAGAGAGAGAGAGAGAGAGAGCAGCATTGCACAACCATATTAAATACTATCACTGGCTGGTTGGTGTGCTGCCATAGCCGTTTGAGAGAGAAAGAGATAGAAAAAAGCACAATCTTTGGCCATTTCAAAAAAATATTTCTGTTGCATTTGAAATTCATCGAGAGGGATGAAAAGTGACAGTGTGCTCTTTTGACCCTACCTCCCTCCCTCCCTCTCTCTCTCTCTCTCTCTCTCTCAACAGAGGCAGCAGCACACACATCCACAAGACGACCACATGCGGACAGACACTGTTTGTAAGCTTTGTTTTTATAGTGTTATTTTTGTAACTTCCAAGTCTGCACCCACCTCCTCTCTTTCTCTCTCTATATCCACCAGATACACAAAACCCTTTTCCCCTCTCTCTCTCTCTCTGCAATTAACTTTTAGCTAGATTTGGGCGTTGAGCTTCAACTCTATGTAATAAGAAGAAGAAGAAGAAGATGAGTGCCTCAAAGTTCATCAAATGCGTCACCGTGGGAGATGGAGCTGTAGGCAAGACCTGCATGCTCATTTGCTACACCAGCAACAAATTCCCCACTGTACCCCTCTCTTAACCTAACTTTACATTCATTCTTCGACTGTAATTTCTAACACAGATTAAGGGTGTAATGAAATTGGGAATGGCAGGATTATATTCCAACTGTGTTCGACAATTTCAGCGCAAATGTGGCTGTGGATGGGAGCATCGTCAATTTGGGCCTCTGGGACACTGCTGGTATATATATAAACCTACATTTAATTAATTCAAACCACATTTGGTTCAGTTTAATCTGTGTAATGTAATGAACTTTCTTGTAAGTGAAGGCCAAGAAGACTACAGCAGGTTGAGGCCACTTAGTTACAGAGGGGCTGACGTATTCGTATTGGCTTTCTCCTTAATCAGTAGGGCCAGCTACGAGAATGTCCTCAAGAAGGTCTGCTCGCCTAACTCTCTCTAGATTTGCACAACTAACACGGCCGTGTTAACTTCACTCTTATTTTGCCATCGATTTGCACGACTGACACGGCCGTGTTTCGCTCTTGTTTTGCCGTCAGTGGATGCCTGAGCTTCGTCGATTTGCCCCCAATGTTCCAATTGTTCTTGTAGGAACAAAGTTGGGTATGCATCCATCCATCCATCCCTGTAATTATCTCTATGCTTTTTTATAACTTCAAATTGTTAATCGTTTCTGCACCGTAGATCTTCGGGAAGACAGAGGATATCCGTCCGATCAAATGGGATCTAACGTCATTGCAACACCCCAAGTGTGTAGTAACAACATTTCTTCTCCTTGAATTGGTTCTGTTCAGTCAGATTTTAGTCATTAATGGAACTCGATTTCTTGCAGGGGGAGGAGCTGAGGAAACAGATTGGTGCAGCAGCTTATATTGAGTGCAGTTCAAAGACTCAACAAGTATATATATATATATATATATAATATATGACATTGTTCATTACAATTATCTGTAATTTTCGATGCTTATTAAGGTTCTAACAACAACTGTCCCCCTACAGAACGTGAAGGCTGTTTTTGATACCGCGATTAAGGTCGTGCTCCAGCCTCCGAGGAGGAAAGAAACGGCTGCCGCGGCGCGAAGAAAGAAACGACACAGCCCCGGATGCTCCTCAATTGCGTGAGTCAGAATATATATATATATGTTAAATTTATGACAACATGTTATAAGCTCCCATTGATTCTTGCATGCTTGTTTGTTCGAATTTGATATAGCCGAGGAATCTTTTGCTGCGGGTGCGGGTGTGCATAGGTGACAAGTGGTGGTGGTGGTTCCGAGTGGCTCCTAGCCACACGGCGGCAGCGACCGCGGCGGTGTCGGAAAGTGTGCGTGCAGTTGTAGAGTGAATTTATTGTTTTCTCGTCTACTTCTTCTTATGTTGTCCAAACCTTAATAATCATAATGCATTTGGTTGTGAGTTGCCTGCGTTCAAACATGTTAAATGACCATCCCACATGAAATTTAAATCTCTAAAAATAATAGTTCACTCGATTCAAAATAATAGTTTCATTTTGTCATCTTTATCCGTCTCAATATAATAATCACTGTTTCCTCACATTTTTACAATAATTAGATAAAATAGAAGCATTTTGATCTTCTATATACATTTTACAGCCACTGTAAAAAATAATAAGTAAATAAATATTTGAACATAGAAAATATTAAATGATTATTTCGTCTAAGCCTGTAAGAAATTAAATGCATTGTTTGTGGGACGGGACATAACGGGTATCTTTCGTCCCGCTCGATCTAGTTCTGAATTATATAAATCTAGTTGTCGGTTCTATAGTTTATTTTGATCATTTATAAGTTATTGTCAGGAAATATAATAAATAAAATGTCACAGAACTTATTATGTAATTATTATGAACAATACGTTATAATATTATTTTAAATCAAGTTTATATTAAATATTTATTTTTATTTTAAAAATATTGGATAAACATAATATTACTTTGATTTATTTATCTTTACTATTTTTAAGTCAACTAAAAAATTAAAGTGATCCAAAATATTTACCTAAATGCACCTTAGTAATTTAAATATCCATATATTTATAAAATTAGCTATAGAAGTTTGTTGACTTCGCTCTCCATATTACATTTTAATTTAAATAAATATTCCATTCGTCCGCAATATTTAGCTTATTTGGGCTCGATACGGTATTTAAAAAAAATAAATATTTTATTAAAAAAATAAAAAGGTAGAAAAAATATAATAAAATTAGTAGTATTTGTTATAAAATAAGTGTTAAATGAATGATAATAATTAAATATGATTTTTAAAATTTTTCCAAATATAGGGATAAAATAAATTTAACGGACAACAAAAAAAAAAACGAATAAATTTGACAGAAAGAAATAAGTTATTAATTTAAAAGATTTTAAGAAATAAGAAAAAACTCCAAATTGAGGGCCCATTATTAAAATACATAGCCCATTTGAAGAAGCCCAAAGATATCATACAGAAGTGACCAACATGATAATAACTGCTGTAAAATCAACATAATTACTATGATCAATTTGATACGCTAACAATCGAATATTTTCTTGGTTGTCATCTCTTGTCTAACAATGAGGGGATTTTTAAATAAATATCCCAAGTTAAATATATATATATATATACTTATTTCACAAAATAAAGTAATTCTAACCTACTGCAAATTGTTTTGTTAATTTAATTTGTTTTGTCAAGAATGATAATATAACAAATTCAAAAAATGAGCTTTATGGGACCAAAACAAAAACATAAATAGAGTATAGACCATGAACTTACCATGCTCCATTTTTGGAGTAACACTTAACTTTATGCGGTGTCTTTTTGGTATTTGTGTATTTTTGTTATTTTTTTGGAATATATTGTACTCCCTCCGTCCTAGAAAATATGGGACTATTACTGTAGATACGAGAATTTAGGTAAAGTATAATTAGTAAATAATTAAGAAGTGTATTAGTAAAAATAATTATTATTTAGTAAAAATAATTATAGATCAAGATTAAGATAAGTAAATAATTTAATTAAAATTAAGAAAATTATAAAATTTAAAATTTAAAATGCGATTAAAGTGCATAATTATATTTCCAAAAATAGAAAGGACAAGTTATGTGGGACAGACGAAAATAGAGACAAATTATGTGGGACGGAGCGAGTATAATTTTATTTTTTAAAAATAATATATAATTTTATTTTTTAAAAAATGATATATAATTTTACCTTTTGAAAAGTGATATATAATTATATAGTTTTTTAAAAATAATGTGTAATTATATATATTTGGGTTATATTGTAAAAATAAATTAAAGTTGGGGTATAATTTATAAATATAAAAAGTTATATAAAATAATATAAAAGAGGAATATATAAGGAATATATTTTTTAGAGTGAAATAAAATTACTGTAGATCAACTGCATTTTTACTCTGCCTACTGCAAAAATGAAGGAATGAGTTGGAGATAGTCTCAACTTAAACCTGCCTCGTTCGGTCCAATCCTATAAATCATTTTCTTTTTTTTTTTTTTTTGAATTTTAAAAATATAACTAGTACAATATATAATAAGAATGTTGACATTCCGCGTCATTTGGCAGCCGCAGATCCAGCTACTTTCTCAAGTGGATGCACAATTTATTAAATTATTATTACAATATAAAAGAAATAAATTACAATCGTCTCTTAATTGTTACAATTATGCACAAAGTGTAATATTTTTCAAACATTTGTAACTCTAATAACAACAATATTTATATCAATAATCCTCGGTCGTCAATACCCAAAGTTACGATCCAAATGAAGAAGGAATGAGTTTGAAGAAGAAATGAATTTGACTTGTAGAATTAAAATTCAGATGAAGGGAAAAAAAAAAAAAGGTCACAAATATATGATGTGTTTGAACAAATATAATAATGTATATGATAAAATAATTATTATTTATTCAAAATATATGAGTTTGTTTAGTTGTTGTTGAAATTAATTTAATATAAAAGTTAATGTGAATTTTGTTTAATTTAGACGAAAGGAGTGTAAATAATAATAACTGAAATATACCAAAAAATAAATGTACGTTTATAAGTACATTTTTTTAAATTTATTTTATTGTCTTTTATCACACATATATACTAAAAACAAAAGATCATGCTTTTTAAAATTTCATTAATATTAAAAGTTTTAAATCTAATTAATAAATATTTGTGCATGTACAAACTAAGTGCATTACTAGATCATTCTTAACCAATAATTATTCTAAACAAGTTAGCAAGAGAATTTTCTTAAATTTATTCGATTACAGTTCATTATATATTATATATCTCTCCCTCCAATGAAGAACTCAGAAATATAAATAATTCAATCAATTACTTTAAAGCAAATTTTATATTGACGCGTACCTCAATCCTATTTCCTCTTCTATCATCCTCTCCATCAAACTCCAAATTTCTATGCATCAGCGTTGTGTACAAGGCCCGGGAACGAATTCACCGCCGTATGTAAGCAGAACATTAATAAAAAAAACAATTTTAAATGAAAAGAAAACCAAGTTTTGGAGAGATCAACAGGGTTACGAATGCTTCTTCGGTGTAATCCATTTCCGAATCTTCATCTCAGAGCTATCCCCGAATCTTCATCCGTATCATCGTGCCTGTTGGAGTGGCTGCTCAATTCAGGAACTGTCAATTCATCATGATCGGGGCCAAAAAGTCGAGCATAAATATCATCTCGATTCCTCACGTGCTCTGAAATTTTTGCAGAAGGCTGAGTCATAGATTTGCTGTATTTCTTCTTCAAATTCTCATCTTCAGCTGAACAAAGAGATCTGATTATGCGATTGTTTGTCTATGTGGTAAACTATAATTTTCAATTTAGGGGTTTCTTGAGCTTACGAAAAAAATTTAATTGTATCCTAAAATTTAAATTTTTCGGTGAGATGGTTATTTAAAAATAATTAATCAATGACGGCAAAAAAAAAAAATATGAGCGCACAACTCAATCATTACCTTCTTCTTCTACCTCAACATCGCTACCGAATAAAGCATGGTACATCTACAAAATGGAAAGCCAATTTTCAGATATGACGATTGTTGTAGTTTTTGAAATAAAATCAGTATATCTTCAAGATCGATATACTTACCATCTCCCTCGAAACATCGTGATTCCTATCTGTGTATCTTTCATTTTGAGCTTCTGGGCGTTCAGCCTGCAGACCATGGAAAGGCCATCAGTATCATCACTATTAGATATGAAATAAAAGATTAGGAATTAATGCATCTTTAGTGAAGAAGTTGTTCAATTCATGGCAGACATGTTGGTGAAATCATAGCGTCTTCTTTCTATCCCTATAATTTGTTACTTAGATCGAGCATGAGAACGAACACTTGGAACAGATTGCATTCTCCTGCTGCTGGTCCAATTTTCTTTGAAAATATACTCAATCACTTCTGTAGTTTCAGAAGTGATTCTTCTTCTCTCCAATCTCATTTGGTATCGGTGAACCCTCTCCATCGCCCACGGTGGTATTTCTACCGTCACCGGTGTTATCTCTGATGGAGAAACTCTGGCAATCCTTTGGGCATGATTCGATCTCTCCGTATCTACTGCAGTGTCTCCCTCAGTCCTCCCCACCATTGATGGAGAATTCATCCTCTCGGCTCTCACCGCAGTAGCTCCGTTGTTCACCGGCACCATCGAAGTAGAGTTCGACTCAGCAGCTGCAATCGCATTATTATGCACATTTAGATTCTCAATAACCGCTATAAATTCAAATATGGAGTATTGTGATAATTTCAATACAAATTGTTATGCTGCAACTATATATATGGAAAAATATCATGTGATTTTGAAAAAAGTCTGTATCATTCTCCCTTGTATTAAGAAATTATATGAAACTCTTTTATATTTTAAAAAAATATTGCATATAATTTATTTTTAAGGTTTCTGTGCAGTATTTTATAAAGTACAAAAGAATTTCGTGCAATTTTTAGAAAATTTATGCAATATTTTCTAAACCATGAAGAATTTCATGAAAATTCTAAACCATACAGGAGATTTGTGCAAAAAATTTTCTAATTAAAAACGGATTATAGACAATTTTACCTTATATTAATATATGTGTGTATAAAAACCTTCCATTCATAATGAATGATGAAATAATAATAATAAAAAAAAGTAGACAATTTAGATCATATATAGGATACAGTATTGTGCATTAGCTTTAAAATAAATTAATACTAAGATAAATGCAATAGATCATATGTTGGTATATTATGGTTGAATTTTGAAATTAAAAGAATGTTATTGTGCATTAACTTACAATAAATAAATTAAAACATTTGGCTTGTGCATATCATATATAGATATATAATTAGATTCAGACCTTATAAATAAACTATTTTCATCCTTAACCTCAAAGAACTGAAGTTTATAATATACTTACATATCATGTGTAAGCAATAAAAATGACTTACATTACATCCCTATGTACATGGAAAATAAACCTTTTTGAAAAAAAATTCAAAATAATGTTCCAACTTGATGATTATTAGAGAATCTATACTAACACAACATATAATGCAAAATCAAGAATGGTTCTGAAAAGAATATGCTTAATAAAATTAAAGTAATGAAACTTATGCTAATGCTTTAAAAATGTTAAGAATACCTCTATTTAAAGTTTGTGACCGAGTTATTCTCCTATTTTGCTGTGGTCTTTGACCACTCGGAGCAACTAGAGCCGATTGATCTTCTCTATGAGCAGCACTTGTGGCTAATACTTTTCTCTTTCCTTTGTTAATATTTGATTGATGATTATCCTACGACACAATGAGGTATAGAGGTTTAATTAGGATCAAATGCTTCAAAAATAATATTGGAAGTCTTACTATAAGCCAATCATAAGATTAGTAAAAAATAATAATACTTAATACAAAATTTAATCTCTTTATTTTCTTATTATTATTATCATCATCTAATGACTCGGTACATTTTAAAAACTCTTACCATATTGTCAAGAGAGGATTAAGGGCAACAAATTGCAGTGTCCTTTTCGAAAACTGCCAAAAAAACAATCTCAAATATCATATTCATACAAATAACAACTCATCAAATATTTACTTTCTTTCCATAATCTCATTGGTTATAATAAATTTCATAATTCTTTCACCATTTTAATTTTAATTTTTCCAATTGATTTGAGTTTTTTTTTTTTTGTCAAATTTTGAATATATCAAAAGAACAACGATTATACCAAACAACTACATATATATATATAAATATATATATATATATATATATATTTGAGTTTCTCAGTTAATTTAGCCATTGATTTGAATTTTTCAAACTTGAGCATTGAAAGAATCTTAAGCATATATATAATAACTAGATCTAATCGGGATAAAAGCATAAGTAGATGAAAACAATGTCAATAATGTACCAAGAGAGAGAGGAAAGAGATTTCAAGAATAAACATCACATGAAAATTTTTGACTCTACATACAATGTATAGAAGTTTAGATTATTTTTAGTTTTTCATTGGTTATGTTAAATCTATATTTAACAAACTTGTGCAAGAAAATTTTTATATGGATGAAAAATGACAATCTCTCATAAAAGATGTACAATGAAAACCAATGATATATATAGATATTTTGATTGTTATAAGAAAATTCATTTACTACGATTTTTTCAAAGAAAATGGTTTGTCAACACTATTTAAGAAATTTTAAATAGAAATTGGCGTAAAAGAACTCTTACAATTTTGTAAAAAAATTGGATGAAAGATAACAAAGTGTTGTGTTATCTTTTACCTTAATCTTGCTCCAAGAAAACGGCAAAAATTGAATAACTTTCACTATTTAAATTTAAAGTGTATTGAAAGAATAAAAAATACTCATTCCGTCCCAATTCAAAGTACCATTTTTACCATTTTCATTTGTCTCATTTCAAAGTATCAATTTTCTATTATAGAAAAAATTAATCCTATATTAATACCAAAATACCCTTAACTTTTACTTAAATTACAAACATACAGTTACACATACAATTACTTTATACAAAAAGTTAAAGTACAAAAATATCAAAATCTCCTGCACATATTCACTAACCAATAAAATACTATTATTTTTTAACAGAGGCCCATTTCAAAAGGGAAGGAAGATAAGCATTGTATAATATATAGACATATTAAAGTATATAAAAAATGAAACATTAACTTGAATTTAGAATTGACTCTCTAAAAATAATATTTAGAATGCTGACATATCTTAATTTCTAGTGCTCAAATCTAGATCTAAGAAACATGAGCAATACTCTTTATATAGAATGACAATATTTTATGAATTGGTTGATTTATGACAAAATCCATCGACTTCACATACCAAGAAATTTAATTCATTATATTAAATTTTCTATTATTACCCCCACTTACCATCTAACGAGAAGTTTTTCATTATATAGAAATTCTCCAATATTGTTCAAAGCAAATATGCCATCAACAATATTTTAAGAAAAAAAAAAAAACTATTTTTTAGTCGCGTAATTAACCCTCTTCTATTTTATCCACTCAAATCTAGAATTAAGAAACATGCATGTGCAATCCTTTGGAGAAAAAAATATTGTGTTTTCCTCGATCTTCAAATTTCCTTAAAATAAAAAATATAAAAATAAAATACTCGTTTTACAATTGAATTTAATTTTCATTTGTTAGAGAATTTTACAATAATAATAATAATAATAATAAAATAAGACGATATAAAATTCAAGATAATTTGTAACGCACTTTGATTTCAATTGAAGCCACCAACAAGTAATGTATTTCACCGAAACTCTTTAACCAAATAATAGAGAATTAAAAAATAATAGAAGGTAAAATTATATATGGTTGAACCTAAACCCATATTTGACCATCTCAACAAAACCCTAATCTCAATTCATTATAAGACTTTTCAAACCAATATTGTTTTATCAATAGATTTGGGTTTTTTAATTCTCAAATGTGTCAAATAAAATCTTAAATGTATCAAAAAGTTAGATCTGGTTAAAGAAAAAAAACTAGATCTAAAAAATTGGAAGTAAAATTGAATGAATAGCAAAATACACAACCTAGCTATCAAATGAGAAAAAAAAAAGAACATATATGAAACTAGATTGAAAAAGAAATATCACCTTGAATTTAGAGCGTATCGAAAAACTAGATCTAAGTAAATCGAAAATAAGAATAAATGAATAGAAATATCCGCAATCTATTGGAAGGAAGGTGGGGGCATACATAATAAAGAAGAAAACATCACCTTAACTTCAGATCGACTTTTCAAAATACGTTTTGAATGTTGAAATTTCCGAATTCTCTCGACTGCTCAAACCTAGATTTGAGAAACTTGCAAAAGCCTATTTATATAGTAAAAAAAATAATATTTTATGATGGGTACGCCTTAATCTACCGGGACCGTTACTGGGTTTCAAGGGCCCAAAATGGAAACAATTTGGGTCCATATTTATATATATTTTTTCTTATATAAGGAGAGTCTTTGACCTTCCAAAATGGATCAAGAAACAAGTGCAAATCAAATGTCATTCATAATTATATGGATCGTCAATATACCCATGCCCTAGCCACGATATTATGCCACCTTATTTATTTACATTGTATATAAACACAAATTTTGTGTTTAACTTCCAATGTGGGGATAGTTGATTTATAATTTTAACAAATTATCTGATATTGGATCCTAATTAATAGCCCATGACCAATATATATTAATCCAAATGAATAATCCAATTAATTTGGTTTGTAGTGGGCTTGTAATATTTCTATGAGTATTTATAGTCCCATTCAATTTTTTTTTTAAAATATTTGGTCCCACTAAAAAAAAATAATATCAAAACTAGTCTCACCCAAAAAAATACTCATCATTTGTAGTCTCACCGTTCAAAATTTAATGGACTGAACTGACATAGCTATTACGGATGTTGACCTGGCTGCTGACTCAGACCAAACACGGCCGTGTTTAAAATCACACCTCATCCGAAAATTTGATCGAAATAAACACGGGTGTGTTACAAATGAATACACCCGTGTTTAAAACAACAACTCTTCCACCGAATTAAACATGGGCGTGTTCCTATGGAACATGGCCACGTTTGTGGTTACAAACAGTCTTTAAAACACAGGCTACATATGCCCGTGTTAAGTTTCACGACACACTAGGATTTGAACACAGGCGTGTTCACATAATACACGTCCGTGTTGTATCATTAAAAAATCACGTTGATTTGAATTAGGTTAACACGGCCGTGTTAGTAAACAAACACGGTTGTGTTCGATCTTTTTTTAAATGGAAACTCTAGCCCCATATGTCCCTCATTTCAAATATATTCCATCCGAAGTTCTCCCATTTCTTACTCACTCTAGTCCTATCTCTATAACATTTCAACCCCATATTTCAACTATTATATTTTATCTTCTTTGGAGTAAAGAATATTCTTGTGAAATCTCTTGTGAAGGTAATTTTTAAATTTATTTTTTTCTTCATTTTACTGTCTTTTATGGTATAAAAATGATAATATGTATAGCTTGCATATTATTGTGATTAAAGGCTTCTTTCCTTAGCCAAAGATGATGCTTATATTGCCACCCAAAAAGATTTTATTCTTCAGACAGGTAGTATTTCACTTACCCAACCGTGGCTGAAAATTTATAATTTTCTTTCCTGATTTTTTAATATTCCTAGTAACTCCACTAGTTTTAGGGCATGAATAGACAAATTAGAGCCCCACTTTGCCCGTAGCTGGCATGATTTAGGCATTTATGATATGATTTTTTTGTGTTCCCATCAGTTTCCCCGCGATAGTGAACTTATTAGGGCTTTGTTGTGCTTCTGATACTCCAGATTGAATGTGTTTTCTTCCCTTTCGATATTTTGAGCTCTACTGTTTTAGATGTAGTTGTAATCCTTGAGTTGCCCGTGAAGGCTTTAGAACCTCTCCTCTCTGAAACTTCTATTTCTCTGGAATTCCCGAATCCATACAACAACAAAATCACCTCTGTCTAATTTATGACACAAAACACCCTCACCGGGGATGTCGACCCCCTGAGAACAACACCCTTTTATTTTTTTTGATTCAACAAATATTTCGCTTGTTTTTTTTCCAAAGGGGTACTAAGGGAAGTTGAGCCAATCTTGCATACCATCATATCGGGATAAGAAACAGATTTGGCCTCATATTTCCTGGGCTTTCTGTACCGAGGCATAAACGATGTGCTTGGAAAAATGGCCAAGTCCCTCGGAAAAGACCCTAATGTGGTCGGCCCTTTGTGGTTTTTGGACCTATGGGCAAGACTCTATTTTCCTGAATGTACTATTCTATAGGTCAAACCAAATTTTTCATGCCCTTCTTCTTTCTTGGGAAACCAACTTCTCTCTGGCCCCTTGCCCATAAGAAATTGTTATTCCATTGTCCATTCTCTACTAGGTGTCTATCCCAGACCAAATGAATTCATTTGCCCGTTGTTAGAGAGGATGCAGTCCCTCTTGGTTTCTCCGAATAAGGGATGGAAATCTAGCCCAAAGCCGCCGCTCTAGTGTATGTTGGAACAAATATTTTGCAGCTTGGCCTCTAGTTATTGGCTGCTCCTCTACCTCACGATACAACCCTTTATGCATCGAACCTTAACAACCTCAATTCTTGGCTCGGAAATTTGGCCTTACCTAAGATGTCCCGACCACTAGCTATCTGCTCCTCCACCAATTGAGGTTCGCATTGATATCCCCTCAGCTGACCTGCCACAGTGGAACTCTTACGTCTTGGAGATGAAAAACATGGCCTACTTCATCCACCAACTCCAGCCTATTGTCACGCCAGCCTTCCAATAATATTGGGTAGACATCAATGTCTGCCTATTTACTGCTGGAAAAACCAGTCACTTATCTGGTGAAACTAGTAGACGAACGCTCAAATGATGAAACCGCGTCTACTTCGGACACTAAATATGTTATAGTAACAGACTCCCATCTCGCGCTAGGTCATTCCTTTCCCAATTTCAACATTTTTTTGATGATGATGTAAACTAACCTCTTCCTAATGTCTTTACAGCACCCAAGAAACCATCCACCAGCTTTGCTTCCACATCCGCAACTACTGCTCCACCAGCCTTAGTTCCATTAGTGGACATAGACAAATACTTCTCCGCTGCCCGTGCTCCTCCACTAGCTGTTGACTCTCTGCAAGCAATGTTTGGCTCGAAAAACCCTCTTGATACCTTCTTGGCCGGTCTTTCTTCTTCTCTGGAAACCTTCGAATTTATCTAATGTCACTACTCTGCATGATCCAAAAGCTTAAGACCGGAGATCCAGAATGCGTTTCCATTCTGGAAGGCCTAGTTGACCAAGTAGAGGATGTGGCGGATAAATCAAAGCTCCTCCACACCCTTCGAGATGAAAGCTAGCGAAAGATGGACCACATCTCTTTTTTGTAAAAATTAACTTCCGCCACTGTATTATGTGGTAAAAGTCTATCTTATACTGAAATCCTTTTTTTTCAGGGTGGTCGTTCTTCGGGACAGGCCACTGTTATACCTTAGCCTTTCGAATACGCTATGTCTCAGTGGTTTCCGTCTCGGCCGCCATGTCTTGCTAGAGCGTGGTTGAATCAATCATACTCCTACTAAATTAACTGTAGCTGGGAATGGATCAAAATCAATCTTCATTTTTAGCTTATCCGTCAACTTCAAACATCCTTCCTTGATAGCTCGTTGGATTGCATTGCAGAAAACGATGCAGTTTCCAACCTTATGGCCATAAATGTCGTGCCTTTTGCAAAATGAATTCAAGTTCTTCGTCAGATTGGAATTTTTGTCCCTCTTTTAGGAGAATTTGATTATCCTGCAACAAATACTCAAAGATCTGTTCGGTCTTGATAATGTTGAAAGAATACTGCTACCATGGATCTGCCTTCTTCCACCGGGACTTTCGTAAAGCCGGACAAGTATATGACTTTTCTTACATAATTTCCTTAAGACATGCTTCTTTCAACTCGTCTTTCAAATTTGGATCAGCTTGTACTTGCACACAATGGGCACCTGCACGGTATCTTTGATTCCAGGCTGCTTGGATATCTTTGAGACTCTGCTCCACTTTAGATCTTAACTGCCTTAAGTCCTGGTATCCTTGCAAAATCAGCTTCTCCCAAATAGCTGGATGAATATTATCAATCGAAATATTTACTACTTGGTCCTCCGAAATGCGGACCTCGCTCATGCTTTCTGTTCGCCGTAATCGTTCAAAAAACTGTTCCGGTAACTCATCTGTCTTTTGTCATAGGCTGGTCAAGTCCATAATCGTGGCCTCAGGTAGCGGACTGTATAATCGCTCATGAAATGCCTGTTCTAGTTCCGCCTAATTATGCACAGAGTTGAGTTGCAGGGAAGCGTACCAACTAAATGTTGGTCTTATTAGAGACAAGGAAAACAACTGCAGTTTATGCCAATTGTTATTGACATAATCTCCGCCATATTGGGCCATAAAATGGCTCACATGGTCGATAGTGGATCGTGAATCATCTATCGAGAACAACGTAAATTATGGGATCCAAACATATTTCGGCAGTGGATGTTCCTCAACGATTCGATCTGGAAACGGCCGTTGATACTGTGGCCTAGCAAACATCCGCATAGGATCGTCGTATGCTCTGCATATAACTTCCTCTAACGCCTTCGGATCTATTTGACGATTCTGTTGTGCTCCCCCATGTACAAGATTTAGTGGAATCCGCTTAGATGGATTCGCTTCTTCCCGGGCATATGGGAAAGCCTGAAGTGCCTGACCTTCCCCTGCCATCTCTTTTTATAGCTTGACCCAATCTCTTTCATCAGCTTTATTGAATTTCTTCAATTATTTCTCTTTGAAACACCAATTGCAACCTTCATCCTTAAATGGTCTTAATCGAAGAATTCCAACTCATCATTATCCCATGGCCGAAACATCAATTCACCATTACTTAGCTCCCCTAAATCAATTACCTTTTTTTAAAATTTATATTATACTACCTCCGTCCGGCTACAAGAGTTTCATTTACTTTTTGTGTGTTAATATTTGAATATTAATTATTATATAAAAACATAGTACAAATTAAGAAAAAATTGCAAATATACTTTTATTAGTGTCTTGTAATACGAATAGAAGGATATTTGTACTAAAACTTATACAAATATAATTATATTTTTAATGTTAAGTATAATGACACAAAAAATAAATGTGACCCTCAGAGACGGAGAGAGTATTCCAAATTTATGTTACATTTAAAACATCACATCAACATCTATTTTATTATATTAAACAATTATTTAAATTCAATTTTTTACGATTCAAAACTCTAAACCCAAAAACCTAAACCCAAACCAACAAACAAACACACCAATGATCATTGTTTGTCGTTGCCATTAAATAGGATAGTCATTTCACGTTAAAAAAAAAAAAAAAAATTTCATCGTGAGAGGAAATACTAACAAAATGTACCTTATTTTAGGAAAATAGAATTTACCTCGACTCAAAATTTTCGATTAATTTTTTCTTTATCCTTGTAACCTTTATATTATTACCAACAAAAAATACAAGTGATATTGTCATTTCTGGATTAATGGCATATGTCATAACTCATATGATTAGGACAACTAGTATTCCTCTTATTCAACTGGTGAAGGTATCTTCAATGGGGTTTCTTTATAAAAATAATTCTTACATCAACGTGTTAAGTTAGTTTTTTTTGTTTTTGTTTTTTTTTTTTAAAGATATATGAATTCTTTTGGATTTTTTACTAGGAAACTCTTGAGAATTTGTTTCATTTTATTTTTATAGTACTTGCTTTTGCCTTTTTTTTAAAAATAAAAATAAAAATAAAAATTGTAGTATTATATAATTGTTTATAGAATGTTATATATATATATTGATAATATTTTTCTAAATATATATGTATATATTTTTTCCAAAGAGCATATATAATCATTCTCCTAAAAAAAAAGCCTCAATTGGTGATGTGTAACTTACATATTGGCGGCCGGACATTTATATATGACTCACTGCGTATGCTTGAGGATATCTATAGAGTATTCATGGTTCACTTACAGCACATAGAACGGTTCATCGATAGAAGCCCTTCCCTTTCATTCCGAAGTCCTTTTCCCCTTCGAAAAATACAATTTTCAACCATAGAATTTCGATTAGAAATCGAGTGAATCCTCGTGCAAGCGAGGCACCATCGACGGTGTTTCTTCTCTCTCCTTTGCCTCTCCCTCTCCCTCTCCCTGTCCCTGCTCGCTTGCTCTAGTGTTCTCTCATTTCCCGAACCCATTCCCATTCTCATCGTCGACGACCGCTCTTCTCCCTCTTCTTGTCATTTCACAGCGACGTCTTTCCGCCCAGCCGCCGCTATCTGTTTTTTTTTCGGCAACCAAAATACACACTTCTCTCTCCACCACTCTCTCTAATTTTCTAGTTTTAATTTGTCCTCTTCACCGGAGATCGATTGGATAAAGGTTCTCCGTTGCCCATCTTCTTCCGATGCAGGCAATCGCAATTTGATTGGGGATGAAGGGTTTGGCGAAGATTGGGAGTGAATATTGTGTGTGAAGAGGAAGGCTTAATTTTGTGAGAAAAGTTTTCGAATGGAGGAAAAGAAAAAGCTACTGTGACAATTTTAAAATTAAAGTCGATAGATATAAAATTAGGGTTAGACACGTGAAACTCACGTGAGCGACGGAGATATTTAACCATGAAATCAAACATTATATTCTTATAAAATATATCAATATTAACTTTTTATTATTTTTAATATTTCAAAACTCTTCAAAAGTTAATTTCTAAACAAAGCGCATGGTATTGATCATAGGATTTAAGTTTTATTTTATGAAATAGTTTGAAAATTATATTTTTTTTTTAAAAAATATTGTATTGGCTTGTCTTAAAAGAAAAACACAAACATAACTTTTTCTTTAATTTAATTTTTTTAAAAAATACTCATTACAGATGTTTATTTGATTCCTTATTTTCTCCTATTTTTAGTTATAATAATTTGAACTATCTTGAACGGTTCAATGCTTGGTGCAGAGTTCAGATTTGCAAGCCCTAACTCCCAAATTGATGGGTTTCAAACCTCCACCAAAAAGGAAGAAACTCGATGGCGCACCTTCGCCGAGGTAATCTTTAGTTTAGTTTAGAGTTTAATTTCACTTCTGATCGTTTTGAGCCCACAGAATAGTAAGGATATGATATCTTCGATTTTTCGGCGATCCATTAAGCGAATCAAATGTAATGGAATCACCCTACATCGATTATCCTTAGTCCTGCTGAGTTTACGGATTCGGTAGATTAAATTGGTGGTAGATTCCCTGTATCCAAGTAATTTAGGCAAGCAGTTGTGTTCTATACTTCAAGAAGAGATACTCTGACACTGCCCAAAATGCCGCAGCCACAGTTCAGATTGAAGTGTCTTTGAATTGAAGGCTCTAATTTGCAATCAATCCTTTAGATTCCAGATGATTTTTAATTTTATGAGTTTACTGTATAAGTTTATAATGTCTATGGTTGATTCTGCTGTTCTTTCTTTTGGGATCCTAATCCTATACTCTGCCTTTGCATGATGCATCAGTCCTACTGCTTTTGCTTCCATGGTTCCGACATTGGACAAGAGAGATGTGGTCATGGAGCTTATAAGTAAACCAAGAGTATGCCTTTTACGTTTTAGTTTCTGCTGTAATGTTCATATGTGCTGTGCTTGTTATATTGGAATCTTGCTGGTGAAACCTGTCCAGGTTCATGACACTGAAAGCAGCACTGCGAGTCTAAGGATTCAACAGACTCTCCAGGTTAATGAGGGTCAAATTTGCAATGTGAATTTAAGGATTCAGCAGGCAAGGAATCATGCGGCAGCCCAGGTTCAACAAGACGGCTGCACGGGTAATTTTCGAGTATTTGATTCTCCATATGGTAATTTCCTCATCCCCGTGATTCCATCTCGTGCAGAACTTGGCGAGTGAATTGTTTGATAGCCATGCCTGTTTTGTTAGTCTTAACTGTTCAGCATCAAAAGATTACCTGTTGACTATCTTAAACATGATCTGGAATGTTGAGAACTACCAGTCTTTGTAACGGTTTATTGTGGAAGTTATGAGCTGCAGATATCTTAGTCCTAAGGTTGATTGTGGAAGTATGAGCTGCAAAATATCTTAGTCCTAAAATTGCCTAACGTGGTGATAGGCAGAGTGTCTAGGGAGTCGACAGTCTAGAGATTTATTAAGTCATTGTTTAGATAAGGATTTTGGAAGTTCGAGTTTTGGAGAATCTTAGCGCTACTAAAAAGTTGGATAATGTAATGTTTTGTAGATGAAATAAATATTTGATGTGATAGTTATTTTTATTTATTTTTTTTAAAATTTAGTGTTGAATAGTGCCAAAACTTAAAAGTATTTATGAGAAAGATTTCGAAATATAGAAATTGGCGACCATATTTCGATCTCTATGAAGTGACAACATGTATGTTATGCCGTGGTTTATATTGAGCATAATTTGCTAGCAATTCTTCAGGGTTATAAATGTGAATCAAACAAACGCATAATTGGGACGTGCAAGATAAAGTCACATTAAGTAGCACACGAAAAACTACAAGAAAACACATGATGTTACTATAGGATTCACATTATTTATATTAATATTATACAAATACATTACAAAAATACTAAAAACATGTGACATCCAGGTCATGGGTTCAAATTCCGAAGCCTCCAGGTCCATCTGCCACACATGATTCGCCTAATGTGACTTGCCTTGCCGGGCTTAGTTTACAGGATATTAGCTTCGACTGGGGGTTTACCCGGTCCGCACTTCCTCCCATAGAATACATGACATCCTCCTAAGAGCACAACATATACTTTTATAGAGCACATGTTTTAAATATAAAAAGATAATACATGTTTTCATTGCACAAAGCATGCGCTATCTTTATTAAGAATAAGTGCTATCTGAATTTTTAATCTTGTACTTTTTGGGTGTTGATTTCCCTAAATTAGCTTTGTAACCGAACTGCACATACATATGAATTTTGAAAATGTCTTGAAATTTTGGAATGTTTGGATAATAGTAAAAAGTTGAATAGGTTTTTGATGCAATTTTTGTATAGAACATAGGTTTTTATGTAATGCTGGGTAAATTATATCACATTCTTGTGTTTTATTAAAATTGAATAGAATAAACATAAAACCACATTTTTGTATCATAATGTTTGCAAACGATAATCTTTCTATTTAAAAATAAGAATGAAAAAATAATAATCATGGGCTTGTTATGCAAATGGTTTTTGAAGATGAACATACGTATAGTTTTTTAGACATGATCGGAAAAATAAGCCTTCAATATCAATTGTTTTATTTTATTCTATTATGAATAAATTATAGTAAAAATGTTCACGGTATTTAATTTTTTTTTTGTAATAAATAAAATACAAGGTATTTTTGTTTTTGTTTTTACATTTTTCCATAAAATATATAGGTGTATATGTAGTTTATCTTATAATTTATTAATTATAAAATTATAAAGTATGGAAAGTTTGTTATTCTTCTGTTAAAAAATTACACAATTTTTTTTGTGTTTTAAAAAGCACCGCACAACACTTAAGGGAATTCTGTGTAAAAAATTTTAAAGCATGATGAACTTTATAGTCTTTAAATCATGAAAAGAATGATGTCAATTTTTAATCCATATTTAGGTTATAAGCAATTATGTCTATTTTAAATGAAAAATGTATATTAAATGTGATTATTTTAGAGATTAAACTTTTGATGAATAATATAAAGATAGAATTAAAAACATAAGTAAACATGACCTTACCTTTTTCCCCTTTACTTTTTTCTCCATACTTTTTGAAACCATTTTGTGGTTATGTGGAAGTATAGGATGGTAGGGTTGCAAAGGCATAATGATAGATTTAAACGTGTGAGTGATAGCCGATGGACCTTGTGCATTCAGATTATAGAGTAACCAAAAAGTTTTTATTGATCCGAGTGGATATCGCATATCATCTAGCAAAGGATGTTTATTTCTCTATTCTCACCTTGTAGTTCTCCATCTATAGCTTTAGAACTCAGCTGAATCTTTTATTTCAAAAGTTAGATATTTTCAACAACTATATTGAAGTGGAACATGAAGTATAAGTTCAAATGCTTCAAAATAACAATAAAAGATGATAAGATAATCTTTACATGTTCAACAATCCTTCTCTATGGCTCTATTCCCTGTCGTAAAGTGATAAATTGTAAATGTGCAACTGCATATTTCAATTTATTCAAAGATTACTTAAGTGATAATTCACAATACAACGATGAAATATTTTGTTGTGTCGGTATCGAATGTCACGATCTCTCTTTCTTCATATTTTTTAGAGTGTTAAATTTCATGATAGATACTTCCAACAACGACATGGTAGAGCAAGAAAGCTTGGTTATAAAATCTCCAAAAGGCAACCTCTTTTTTCGAATGTTGACATATGGTGTACCGGCAGATGCAACAGACGAATATGTAAAAATCGGCGAGTTAACAACAATTGAGAGTCTTAAGAGATTTCGCCATGTTGTTATTGAAATTTTTACAAGAACTTACCTAAGATTACCTAATGTTAATGATGTGACGAAGCTGCTGCCTATTGGCAAAATTGTGGTTTTTTCGGAATATTTGGTAGTTTAGATTGTATGCATTGGAAGTAGAAAATTGTCCCACAGTATTTGCCAGATATTATACAACACTTTGCAAATCGACGATCATCTTAGAAATTGTGGTTGATTATGATCTTTAGATATGCCATGCTTATTTTGGTTTGTCGGGGGCAAACAATGACATAAATGTGCTAAGTACTCAAATTTATTTGGCAATCTTACACAGGGTATTACTTTACCTGTGAATTATGTTATCCAAGAAAAAGAGACGACATGATATATTATTTAGCCGATGATATATACCTAAAGTGGTCAACTCTAGTGTAAACTATTTATGAACCACGGGACCGGAAGAAACAATATTTTGTAATAAAATCAGAGGCGTGTAAGAAAGATGAGAAGCGTGCATTAGAGGTGGCAATTTCGGGCCGGTCCGATTTTTCGTGCCGGGACAAGCCTGGTCTAGTTTGATGTCGGGCTTGGGAACTTAGGCTCGGGCATGGCCCACTCCAAACCATGCTGGGTCGGGCCAGCCCGGTTTAAATTTTTTTTTTTTTTCAAAATTATTTTTGAAACAATTAAATTAAAATATTTGAGATAGATATGAGAATTGAACCCTTGATGTATAAGTCACAATTCAAAATCTAAATAATTAGACTATATTTTTATTTTCAATATATAATTATTTGTTAATATATTTGAAAATTTATTTAATTTATTAAATGGGCTGAGAATGGCCCAAAAATTTTCGGGCCTACTTTTTAGGCTCAATCACGGTTTTCTGTGACGGGTTCGGATTTGAATTTTCGGATCATGTCTATTTTTATCACCTCTAGTATATATGCATTATTATACATAATATGATTATTAAAGATGAACATGATCTCAGTGCACCGATAGTAGATGGTCCAAATACATCACTTGTTACGGTTGAAATGATCGTCGACGAAGATGCTCGGTTTAAGCAATTTCTCAATTGACACAGGCGGATAAGAGACCATCATGCATATAGAGCACTGTAGAATGCATTACTAGGAGTACTACGCTACCAAGGTTATTGCAATGAATAATATTTTAGTTTAATTATATTTTTATTTTTTGTCGTTATTTTTTTACTATATTTGTGATTTATCATAATTCTTTATTTTATTTATTTTTAACTCATTACTTTCTCCACATAAAAATAATCAAATTAAATAAATTGTTATTGTTATTTATAAAATTACCGAAATGGTATAATTTGAGTTTATTGAAAAAAAATGTTGAGGTTAATATGTAAATAAGTAAAAGTTGAATAAATATTATGTAATTGTTTAAAAATAAAAAAAATATATATATATGTAAAATATTCCTTTTAAAGGAAAAGATAGAGTGGGTTATAAATTTAGAGAAAAATTTGGAAGAAAATTGAAAAATCAATTGAAAATTATCTAAATAGTGTAAAGACGGTCAAAAGTTAGAGAATATTTTTGGAAAACATAGTTCAAAAGGGTTAGAAGATCTAGAGAGAAGACGAAGCAAAGATGTTGGTGTGAGACCATCTCTAACCCATTCCTTCATTTTTGCAGTAACTACAGTAAAAATGCAGTTGATCTCTACCGTAATCGTAAACTTCAATTTTTCACTCTAAAAAGTATATTTCCTATATATTCCTCTTTTATATTATTTTATATAACTTTTTATATTTATAAATTACACCCCAACTTTAATTTATTTTTACAATATAACTCAAATATATATAATTACACATTATTTTTAAAAAACTATATAATTATATATCACTTTTCGAAAGGTAAAATTATATATCATTTAAAAAAAAATAAAATTATACATTATTTAAAAAAATAAAATTATCACTTTTCAAAAAATAAAATTATACATAATTTTTCAAAAAAATAAAATTACATATCATTTTCTAAAAAAAATAAAATAAACATTATATTCCAAAAAAATAAAAATAAAAAATACACAAACACCACACAAACTCCACTCCAAAAATAGAGTGGAGTGTAGGGGGCTGCAAAAATAGGAGGAATTTGGGGGTGGGTTGGAGCCTCTCTCCCAATTTTTGCACAACCCACTGCATTTGGAGTTGTTCTAAAGAATGAAGGTGAGTGGAGCCATTTGTATAGACACTTTACTTGTGGAATTGAGACAATTGGTGTAATTTACAGTTGTAACTATAGTTATAACTCATAAATTCCATCCATAATGACAGTAGAGGTTTCCGTTAATTAATTCTGATAAATTTTATAATGGATAACCTGTCTTCAAGTTTGGATAAATTTTACCTGTGATTTGGACCAAGCACGAAGCAGGATTTCACATAGATTACAATTTGGCTTGTCTTAAGAAAAAATAAAATGAAATTTGGATTTAGCATTGGACTTCGGAGCAAAACTTAGTTTTGCAAAATCATACATTTATCAAGCCCTAAACCTCGAGTTTGTGCTCATGCACATGCCCATGCACATTTGTGTCTCTATTTGTGTTGCACGGGTGTTCAACGTGCGTGCATATGGCTCATTGACATTCAAGTGTCTTGACCATAATTCTTGTAACTTTTAAGTAAACACAATTTTTCATAAACATGTCATTAAGAGTGTGTTTTACAATCTGGGACCAACTCCCAAAATTAATTAGTTAATTGCTCGACTAAATAACTATTCAACTCAAAATTTTATATCAAGCCCACAAATGAACCTCTTTTAGGTTTACTTTAAATAGTTTTCAAGTCCAACTAATTAAAATTATTTCAATTAATTTGATTGATTTAGCACAACGTATTTCTTCCCACCGATTAATTGGTCTAGAAAAAATTTTAAATTAATTTTTTGTAAATCAAATTCTATAAACGATATATTAACTGATTTACCTAACAAATAAAAAAAAATAATCTAAACAAATACATTAAATCATTAAAATATTTTAACATCCCTCGTACTCTAATATTGTAGAAACCAACTAGAATTTGTGAAGAGAAATTGAAGATGACACAAATATAATCATTCAATGAATCAGAGTCAGGACATACTCTAAATGAAGTTAGAGTCGGTAGCGAAAATAGGGCTCTGAAAAGAGTTAGAGTCAAAAGTAAAAGTAGGACTCTAAATGCCGTAAGAATTGATAGCATAGGACTCTGAACAAAGTTAGAGTCAAAAGCAAAAGAAAAGCACTGAATGAAATTAGAGTCGGAAGACCGAACAAATGCTCTGAATGGAATCAAAGTTGTAAGAAAGAACAAAGCTCTAAACAAAGTTAGAGTCGGAAGTATGATTTTGAATAAAATCATAGTAAAAAGAATGAATAAATCTCTAAATAGAATCAGAATTGAAAGCAGAGCTTTTAACAAAGTAAGAACAAATGATCGAATGTTAAACATAAATTTTATCATAATCAAAATAAATTTGACAGACAAGTGAGGAAACTGGCAATAGAATTCGAATGCGTTGTCACGTGCTACCGGTGAGAATCTCCTATTCTAGAAGCCTTCAAGTACATTGCGAGTTAAATTCTTCAAAAAAATAACTCTAATACCATGTATATGGTAGGTTGGATTTTGAAAAGAAATGTGACTTTAATACCATATATATATTGTAGAATTTCATAATTGTATATATTTATTAATTATGAAATCAAAGACCTATTATGAATATAATATATATATATAGATTTCTAATTTAAACAATAAGCCATAAGCCAAATATTTAAAATATGTTGACAACTAGTCTCGTAAGGGTGCGACCGTGAGGTCACCTACCACACATGGTTCGCCTATTATGACTTGCCTGTCGGGTCTACTTTGCAGGGTATTAGGTTCGGCCGGAGATTTATCCAGGGCGTACCTTCGGGTAGCGGCTGCGGATTCCCACGTTATCAAAAAAACATGTTGACAACTATAAATGAAATTGATATTAAACTCACCAACACCACCACCAATTAATATATGTTTCTCAAGCATTACACTATATATAATCTTTCAATCTATCCTTGTTCACAAAATTAATGATAGTTAATAATAACCAAAAATAAAAAAAAAACTTATGAGAAACAAGAAAATGTATATATATATATATATATATATTTGAATGAATGAATGAATCAAAATTGTTGAGAAGAGGGTGGAAGCAGTGGATCTGTGTGGGAATTGTGGAGATGATGAGCTGGTAAGAGCGTTGCAGCTGGTTTGTGATTTCTGTAAATTGCATAGAGCACCAACTGAAGTGTTCCCAGCAAAAATCCCATCCCATTTGGAACCTGCACCATGCATGCAAACAAAACTTTTAATTTCATCACAATAATAAAGTCAATTATTCCACTATGTTTATTTGAGGTTATATATTCTAATTTTTCATTAAAAATAAAACATTGGAATCTAACATTCAAATTTTTATTTTTATTTAAAGTATTATATTCAATTATCATTTCATTTAGAAAAAATGTTAAACAAACTAATAACTTCAATTTTATGTTCGCATTGTCTAAGAATCCGGCTTCACAAAATTGCTTATAATTTAAAATATTATATAAACGATATTTTTTTTATTAAAATCTAACACTTATTACATCACATAATCATCTCTCTCTCTCTCTTAATAATTTCATACCAATTAAAAAAGTCCAAAATACTTGTAACAAAAATCGAAGAATAATTTTTTATAAATATTATTAATAAAAATATAATATGCACAAATTAACACAATATATAATATATCTATTCACAAAAATTCAATGATTCAAAACAAAATATTATTTTTTTTTATAGCACTAATACAATTCTTCGTATTTAACGTAAATAAAAAAAAAGAAAAAAAATACATACATCCAAAAATACGGAGTGAACAAACCTTTGATGATAGGAGTCCTATTTTATACTAAACCTTAATTGCAAGAATGAAAGGATTTATTTGTAGTTTATTATTTTATAATTTCAAACTAAAATCAATATTATTCATTTGATACAATTTCAATAAAAAATTCATTATTTTTTTCATAAAATATAACATCAAAATACCATTTAATTAAAAAATTAAATCAATATTTTATTTTAAATTAATTTCAAAGCACGACCAAACCAATATTTATAAAAAATATTATATTAAATTAAAATTTATGTTTAAATCAAAACCAAATAAACCAAAATGCTTTTGAAATATTTTAAACTATTTAAAAAAATAAATCTAAATCAAAGATAAACTTTTATATGATATTATAGATCAGCCTAATTCTGTGATAGAAATGCTACCGACGTTTGATATATATATATATATATATTGTGGGTCACTTTCATGATTTGGAATTATTTCAATTTATTATGTGGATGTTGAAGCGTGAGGCTAAGCAAATTATAACCTCAAAACAGCCAAATAGAAGTAGGTAGGGCCATGCAACAGCCTGTCACCATAGCTCATCTTTCACAAACGTGCAAAATACATTCAATAATAATAATAATAATAATATGTTGCGTCACGAAGATAAGTTAAAATAGACTCTCTATTTTGTTCCCACTTTTGATAAATTTATGTGGAAATTATCAATCAAACAGGTGAGGCTATCACTATCAGAATTATATATATAAAGATCTTCTTCACCACTTGCTCTCATATATATAATTATATACACCTTTGTATAATAATTCAATCATATTATATTTTACTGAGTAATATAAACAAACAAGTATATTGAAGAGTTTTGAGCTCGATTTATTTTTATTCGAATCACACGAAAAGGACTTTTGTAACTTACTGAAAGAATACCGATTTTTATAAAATATGGATTTTTTTATTTTTATTTTTATTTTTATTTTTATCTTTATCTTTCAAAACTATTATATGCAATACACATTTTCATACAAAATACCACATCCAAGGAACCTTTCACCCCAAAGACATCAATAATTAAAACACCACACACACACAAAAAATAAATAAAAATACTTACACGTACAATATATTTCTAATTAATTAATATTCCTTATGTCATCTAAAATTATACTAATATAGTTGGACAAGTTTTGATAAAAACAATTAAATTATTTTTAGTAAAATATATATATATATATGAAAGTGTTATGTTTTTTTTTTTACTAAAAACAATAAGAATATATATTTATTTAATGACAAGATGACAAATGGAATATTACATTCATCCCATTTTATTTGTTACTTTTTTTTTTTTTAGCATGATATTTTTAGTGGTGTAATTTTCATATATTTTTATTTTGAATTATTCTATAAATTGTACATCAATAAAGTAAAAAAGAAAAAAATTACTAAAACCTAAAGAACATAAATCAAACAGAGTAAATTTTTTTTTAAAAAAAATGTAAAGTTTTTAAGATATTTTAAATTTGAATAATAAATTAAAAAAGATTTGGGTGGATGTGATTATTATTATAATAAATAATGTAAAAATAGGATTCAATCTTATAATAATATGAGGCATAGTACAAAGATATTAAAGAATGACTCACTCCGACAAACAAGTCCCGCATAAGTACGCCGTACAATGTCCAAACGCCTCCGTTCACGAAAAGGAAGAATGATAGCAGAAATGGCATATACTCCACGCTTTTCTGTGTTACCACTGTTTTCTGCAATAATTATTTAATTTCATTATATATTTACTACAACTAATTTAATTCTGGCAAAATATGTTCTGTCAAAAAAAGCCACACAAGTTGGTTCGACAATTTGTATTAAATAAATATGACTAAAAATGAAATTAAAGTTGGGTTGATTAATGATAAGTGGCCGTAATTATATATAATACCGATCCCACAATAAATAAATAAATACTACTCTCTCTTGTGTCATTGTATTTAACATTAAAAATATTTTTATATTATTATAATAGTATTATGAGACATTAATAAAAATATTTTTTTTTCTTAATTTGTACTGTATTTTCATATAATAATTAATATTAAAAAATTAACATGCAAAACATAAATATATAATATATATATATATAGAAAAAGACGAATTTGACCCTTGATTTTATTTATTTATTTATTTTTATTTTTTCAATAGACAAATGGGCAGAAGCATGTCCCAAGTTGGTTTCTCCGTCAGTGTTCATCACATGATGTCTGAGCCATTATTAGTAATATTGTACTGTAATAATAATCACATGAAAGACGTAGAGTAGTTCAAAAAAAAAAAAAAACTTTTATACGTAAATTGCGGAGTATTTTTATTTTTAATATTTTTTTATTTTTATAATTTTTTTGTTTTATAAAAGACAAATAAAAAAGAATAATTTTTTATATGTAAATTTAAATGTAAGAGGATAAGATTTATTTTATTAAAATAAAGGATCAAATTATAGTTAAGAAAACATACACGGCCATAGTTATCATGACTAAATTTGGAACTTTCTACATTTAAATTTATGTTTGTTTGTTATTTTTATTTCAAGTTCAAATTTACACTTATTCAGTCCGTATAATTTTCATAAAAATATTATTTTTTCTGATACAAATATTAGTTCATAATACTATTTTAAAAAATTTCAAATTCAAATAAAAATGAATACACTATAATTTTATATACTGTATTCCTTCTAAAAACAAAACTATAAATTTAACATCAAAATCAAAATCAAAATGCAAATAAACAAAACTTTAACATATATATATATATATATATATTGTAGATCATAAGAGAATGGTTACGTACCATGGCAGCAAGAGGAGAGGCATACATGATGATATTAAGGCCAGCACAGGCAAATCCAATTACATTGATCTTAGCCTCCCCTTCCAACAGCAAAGCTGTGGCTAATACAGCTGCACCAAAAACTCCCACGTCCAAAATTCCAGCTAATATGCCTGTTCGAGCCTGATCTCCCAATCCGATTCACTTAATTAATCAATTATATATATATCATCGATCGATCGATCAATCAATCATAAATCAACTAATTACTGATCAGGAACCAAATCCGAATCCAATGAATAACTAATATCTGAATAAATCGATTAATTAATTTATGAATGAATTGATTAATTTACCCTCTTCCTTGGAGTAGCAGCGTAGGCAAGGAACAATGCGACGTAAATGAGCTCAACCACGATTCCGAAACCGTTGACAGTAGCCACAAGGTAACTCCCAGGCTTCGTCACTCCGTAGTACGTCCAGAGGCACGAGTTGAGCAGCGTGCATATGTAAGGCAGGCTGTCGAATTCCTCCGTCGATCTCTGCTTCACAATCCTCACAAATGTCTTCCTAAATTATCAATCCATCATTTCCACATTAATTCAACCACCTCAAGCTAAGTAGCATCATAACTAATTAATTAAATTTGAAATTGTACTTACACCGGAGAAAGAAACACCAGAACTGAGATTATGTTCCCTGAAAATCATACGCGCAATCATCAGATCCAACATATATATACTGATATACATATACAATGTTTCTCAATAATGAAATGGAGAAAGAAACTAAAATAGTACTAAGTAAGCACCTACCGATCACACCGACGACGAATGTTAATGTCTCCATGGAAGAAGAAGAAGAAGAAGAAGAAGAAGATGCAGGAGGAGGAAGCTAGGGTTGGTTTAGGGGACAGTTGAGCAGTACAGAAAAGGAGGATATATTGATAAGCCAAACACGTTTTCTTTGCTCTTTGTACTGGTTTTCATTAAGAAATTAATTAATTAATTAATTATCGTGGAGAAGTAGTGTGACACACGAGAGGAGCTATTCCCACTTGAAAATAAATAAATAAATTGATATATAGATAAAAATGTAATCGTCTGATCTGATCAGGACGTATATGTATGTGATCACATTTGCTGTCAATAAATTGATTAATGAAATAATCTCTGGTTATTTTATTTTTATTTATTTGTCAACCATGGCTTGACAAGTACAGTAGAGGCACAGCACAGGTATAATAAATGATTGAGTTCGTCGATTGCTTTGACTGAGGCTGAGGCATATGCCTATTTCGATTAAGTAATTGGTGTCTACTGTTGCTTCAAAAGCTGTACACAAATTATTTTCTCCCAATTATTGGGGTTGGCTTCTTTGACCTCGCCTTATATATATATATATATATCATATTATTTTCTTCTTAAAAATTCAATATATATATATATATATAATAGTACTTATGGTCGCACAATACTCTAAACAACTATACATTAATTTGAAGGGCAAGACATTCAAGTATTGTTGTCTTATGGTTGGCCTTCAACTATTTAAAGTTTTAATTCATAAAAAGCCCATTGTATTATGGACAAATGATAGCGGTTACAGTTCAGCACCATGCTGACAACACACGGCAGCACACTGAGTGCTATTAGACATTATATATATATGTATTTATATAATACAAATACAACACATGAACTAACAACACATGTTATAGTTTTAAACATCACGAGTTGATTTCAGCACACTATATATTGTCATACAACACACTTGTAACTATAAACCAACAACACAAATACAACACGAACTAACAGCACATGCTATAGTCTTATACAACACAAATAATAGTTGATTTCATCACACCATATACTGTTTTACAATACACTTATAATTATAAACCAACAACACATGTCTTTACTATATACAACATGTGTTGTGTATAATAAAATTGTGTGTTGTTTATATATATTACGGGTGCTGATTTGAAAATCAGTACGGTGCTGAATTTTTCAAATCAGCACCCTAACCGGTCCTATGGACAAATACATAATGCCACACACAAACTCTACTCACGTCAACTACAATTACCAGCTTTAATGTTACGGTACATCTTACCAAAAGTAAATGCAATGTCATCCCATAAGGGATGGCCTGGTGGTGTGGGGATTGGAATTGTGACCGTAATGTCATAGATTCAAACCCCCGACGCCTCAGGTCACCTGCCACGCATGATTTGCCTAGTGTGACTTGCCTATCGGACCTAGTTTGAAGGTATTAGGTCGACCGGGGTTTACACAGTGCGCACTTTCGGGTAACGTCTGCGGGTTCTCACGTCATCCAAAAAAAAGAAAAAAAAAAGAGTAAATGCAATGTCCTTCATAAAAACAATTACTTGCCAAACTTCAACATCCATTGACTTTTGCTTTTACTATAAATGCTAATATTTGATAATAATTGTTTCATCCACCTCTAACACCAATTTGAAATCTTTTCTTTAAGCTCTTCAAGTTGCATGGGCTTTCATTGCTTAAATAAACAACTTGTGTGTTCTTCAATTGTCACTTGTGGCATCTGAAACTCCAGCAACTATGAGTTGCTTTCAAACATAAATCACCATTGATTTCTTATTCTTAAAACATAGTTAACGACTTAACAAATCTCTCAAAATACAAAAGTAATCTTTATTATGAATAGTATAATATTCCTAATTAACTTATTTAATACTCCTTCTGTTCCTTAATAATTTATCAATTTTTTTAATTTGGTGTGTCTCATTCATAACAAAGTATTCATTTTATTTTTTTTAAGTAACTATACTTTCTACTAATATTAAAAATACCCTTATAACTTATAATATATTACACAAACGTCCACTACTAAACAGGCCAATAGTCACAGCGAATTGTTGCAGATTTAAAATCCGTGACAATAAAAAGTCACGGACAACCAAACAGTGACAATATTATGTTGTAATTTTTTAATTCAAACTATTCCGTGTCAAATAATTGTAGAAAATGTCACACACTATTTTCCGTGACTATTTATAGTAGCAACATAAGTCACGAAACTATCTGTAGGATTTATATCTCATGGATTTTGTTGCAAACAAATTCCGATGAAAATGATTTATCACACAGATTGTCACGGAATTGTTCGAAATTAAATTAAGTTGCAATACAAGTAACAAAAATATCTGCAATATGTTATTTTGTCACAAATATTACTATGGTATATATTTCTGTGACTCTTTAAAGTTATAATATAAATAATGGAAATACTCCCAATTTTTAATTGTCACGGATTAAATTTATTGTCAACTATTTAAATTAATAAAAAAAGTAACATAAACAGCTACAATGTTTCTATTTGTTACTAATATTGTTATGGAATATATTTTGTGACTATTTAAGTCACGGCAAAGTAGCGATATCTCCGCAATACTCACTTACAATGTCGTTATTTCAATAGAATTCCAATAATTTTGATATGTCACAATAAATGTCACCGAATTTTGCAACAATCTGAATTGTTTCTCTCATGATCATAGCATATCTATTTTGAAAGTGTGTGAATTCACAAATTAATAAGTAGTGAAAATATCCACAAATAATTTTTTTTTTCTTACTAAATTTATTCGCAATTTTTTAAAATAATATAAATGGTTGTAATATTTTTATGTGTTACATATATTGTTATTTAATATTTTTTTTATGGCTATTCAAAATTGAGGCATAAATAATAAATTATTTTGCAATAGGTTGATTGCAACGTATATTTTTATGATTTTTTATGTAAATATTTAATGAAATTCACATAAATAAATATATATTACTAATATTAAATTAATAGACTATATCAATTTAAGATTCAATTAACAAGTTTAAATATTTAAGGAAAGAATATATCTATATCTATATATATAGATTTATATATTCTTATATTTCAAATCCAAATCTTATTAGTTGAGATAATTAAGGAAAAAATATTATCTATTAGGTGTATAAATAAAACAAAGTTAAACAACATAATCATCAAGAAACAGAAAAGTTTGTTATCTTTGATTTGGAAGAAGTCTCTTTTGTAGTGCTTTCCTCAATCGTCAATCGAAGCTTTGATTTGAGAAAAATCTATCATACAAAAATATTCTAACTCGTAAGTATTTTTACATTATTGGTGCATGTTCATGGGTATTTGTGGATTTTCTATTAATTATTTATTTTTCAACAAGCTGCAATTCAATTTGCCAATTAATTATAATTTGTTCTACTGACTTTGTCAAAACTCATAGATAAATTATTTTTTTTTATTTATTTAATTTTTATTCTTGCCTCTACCAGCACTTTTTTTTTTTTCGGGAATGCAGTCAAGTCTTTTATATAATTTTGAATTCAGAAACTCAAGTCTTTTTTTTTTTTATCCAAATTAGATAGTCTAAATATATTTATTGTAAAATTTTTTGATGTTATTTTATTTATTTATTTTAATTAAAAAAATTTCCCAGGTGCTTCCCCTCTCCCTCTCCATCTTCTTCACCCTTCCGTTCTTTCAATCGATTTTTCTTTTCTCCTTTTCTTTTTCTTCTTCGTCTCTACCCAACTTCCTAGGCCGCCGCAACGGTGTTCCTCTTCTCATCCTCTCTTCTTCTTCCTCCTTTTCTTCCTCTTTTTCTTTTTCATTTTTTCATTCTCTTAAAATTTTTCTTATAGAGCACGCTCCCTTCAAATTTTACCCGAAAAAACTATCGGATCAAATCCAACCTTCGCCAAATCGCCGCCGCCCGGTAATTTTATTTATTTGAATGTAGTTACTTTTTACCTTTAGTTATAAATTTTTTAATTCAACATACTAATAGACGATCATTCTTTTTGTGTACTACAGTTGAAAAAGTATGTGAAGACATTATCGCAGTTTGTTGCGCATACACACAACCCACACCTACGATTTAGTGATGACATCTCGAATACTGTAGAGCCCTTTCTTCAGTCAATTTCTCAAGTGCCTAAACCACTACAAATGGATGAAAATGCTCCAATCGAAACACATCAACGATCTGAGCAAGGTGACAGTGATGAAACAATTAATGTCACCCCTTTTATTCCGATTGATATAGTAGGATTGTCATTATCTTAGGAATATTATTATTTGAACTTTTGATGTCAGTATTGGATTTGACTTTCTTGGATTTTAGTAGATAGTCTATTATTATTTGTATTGTTTTTTATATAACGATTTCTTCCTTTATTTATTATCATATTTCATTTGGTATTTTTGTCTGTTAATTTTTTTTAATTTAATTTTTGCTTTACAATATAAATTGAAATACAAAAAAAAAATTATGAAATTAGCAGTATTATTTAAAAAAATATTCACAGTAATAGAATTGGCAACAATTTTTGTGATAATTGCAAATTTTACTGTTACAATTATCGTGATTAAAAATCTTTGAAAATGCTACAATTTTTTGTGACTATAATAATTATGGTATTGTTGCAATATTTGTCACGAAAAATAGTTACGATATTGTTGTATTATTTGTCGCTAAAACTTGTCACGATATTGTTACAATATTCATGAGTTAGAAAACCCATAAGATTCTTGCAACATTCGTGACAATATAATAGAAACGAATTTGTTGTAACTCTCGTGACTTAAAAATCTCAGCAATCCCACAACCTCTGTGACAATATAAAGTCACGGGGTTGATGCAACTTCCATGGATATTTTAAGTTACGAAAATGTCATGGAAATTATTCTGCAACTTATTTTCACGAAAGTGTCACAGTTTTAAAAAAGTCACCAGCGGAAATCTGCGGTGATGGTTCCGTAAATTTTTCCGTGACTGTTCAGTAAAAAGTCACCAACCAATAGTGAAACCGTGACTTTTTTTACGGTAGCTATAGCCTATTATTCTGGTAGTGGTCATTACATTTATATAACACAATACTAATAAGGTTATTTTAGTTTTTTCTATTTTATT